CCAGTCTGTCCGCCTGTCTATTGCCCACTACGCCGGCTGGCCTGTAGAAAAGATCATATTTGTATAAATGAATTTGTAATGTGTTTAAGATCACGCCTGCCGTATTTATTTCTCATCTATGACTTGAAACTATTATGCTTGTATTTTGTGCTTAGGGTAGGAGAGACTTTATAGCTGGTCTGATTTGGCCTTGGAATAACCGAGACAGCAGTAATCAGTTACAGCTTATATAAATATGTATGCAAGTGGGGCATAAATGATACATGTGTTAAAATGTACGTGCTGTTTTTCCTCTACAAGATGCTACTAAAGGTTTGGCACCTCGAAAATACAAAATGTTTTTTTTTTCGGATGGCAAACCAAGAGGACAAATATTCAGATGCCCCGTTCAACCTTCAAAGACGTTATCATTAGGGCACCTGTTACGACTAAACTATCCTGGTGTAACCTGCAGTCCTTTGTGGTTAAGGAATAGTACATTAGTACTGAGAGGGATTAAATGAAACAGGAAGCCAAAGATCGTGTTACATGGAGGGAGCTAATATTAAAGATAATAGGAATAAAATAGCAGACTGTTTCGCTTCTATGTTTTTTTTTTTTTTTTTGTTGCTTCCGACAGCGCTTTGCTAATGTAATTTCGACAAATGAACGAGAATGTGTGCTTTCGCTGCCTTAGCTATCGAGTTTAGTGCTTGGTGCAGCCATGTTAGCTGTATTTTTCATATTTAATTCTTTATGTGTGCAACGGTTGTGTCGTGGTTTTCAAGAAAGCTGATCGTCGGTTTACGTGTAGACTGGCGAGGTACCTTATGTTATGATTTTACTGTGTATGGCCAAATTATTGTAACCGAATACTTTCATCAACGACAAACTGCATTTCTGGTGTCGAGTGTTGGCTTGGGCGCCTCCAGCAACTGCCATTTGCATTTACTGGATTCTGCCGGGACAACTGTTTGTTCACCAGTCTGTAAAAGTGACAGTGACATTTCGTTTGATTTTAACTGGCATAGGAATGTAGCAATTACAGGGCGACGCGACTGCAGTGAAGTTCAAACCTCGACTAAGACTAAGGTACAAAAGAGAACATAACTACATACACACTGGACTGACAGCGGAACTTCTGAGAAGAAATACTTCAGATACATGTGAAGGCGACAATTGTTCTGATATCAAATCGAATATCATGGGAATTGTTTCTAAACGGCTAGGATATCTTTACTGTCGCTCTCGAAATGTGATTCCCAAGTCTGCCTATAGCACAGTCTGTCGTTTGAAAAGACCGAAAGGTGCTAAAAAATTAATTTTTAGAATTTTCTTCCCTTATAATCTTCCCCTTTATTAACTTTTTATCAGTAAATTTCAACTCAGTAGAAAAAATGCAACAAAAGTACTATAATTGTTTAAACATGTGTATCTTAAAGAGTTAAAGCTGAAATAGGTGTGTGTGTGTGTGTGTGTGTGTGCGTGTGTGTGTGTGTGTGTGTGTGTGTGTGTGTGTTTGTGGATAGTTTAATTTCAATAGCATAAACGAGTCAACGAAATTCATAACACGCAAGTGAACTGGCAAGATTTGTCCCGTTCACATTTATAAATTCTTTAGCACTGTTAAAATCTGGCTCAAGGATTTTGCAAACGTAAGGATTAGCAATGTAAGTTTGTATACATAATGTAGAGGGATTGTGCTGCAGCTAGTGTATGATTTATTAAGTTGCGTTTGTTATACTTTCTATTGTACTGTAAAGTGTGAAGGGTCGTGAGATCGAAATTTTTGGACATTTTTTCTATCTGTGCATTGTCGTAAGATCAAAGTTTGCCGACATTATTTTTGAATGTGTATTGTCGTAAGATCACAATTTGGGGACAATATTTCTGTTTGTGCATTGTCGTAAGATCACAATTTGGTTCATTATTTTTAAATGTGCATTGTCGTAAGATCACAATTTGGGGACAATATTTATAAGTGTATATTGTTGTAAGATCAAAATTAGAGGACATTATAATTAAGTGTTGTACTTTATGTGATAAGCGGCCCACAACGAGAGTCAACCCCCTTCCAATTTGATGCCTCCATCTGGTGTAGCGCTTGCAATATATCGCACAGATTCCAGGCAAAGTTAGTCGTATTTTATTCCCTGTTGTCAGCGGGAGGCCATATCGCGTCTACTACGCTGTGAACTTTTAACGGTTCCAAAACATATACAACTGGGCCTAACCCCAACACCTCTACTCCACAGCCACGAGTGTATTCAGCCTCTATTATACTCTGCCTACAGACATGCGACCTATAATGCACCCTTGCGACGACACTCTCATTGTGGGCCGCTCAACGTGATTAGAACCCTAAGTGTTTTTCTAAGTTTGGTTTTGAAACACTGGTCTCGCTACCGACCGCCCATATACACTCTAGCTCACTTCTGATTGGTCAGCGTCGAGCCATGCGACTTTGGACCACTTTAACAGGGGTATTCCACAATATCTTTAACATCGCATGTTGTATATTTCACCTTGCCAGAGGGTTTAACACTCCAAAAACATCGACAACTGGGTCTAACACACAATCCCTTTAGAGAGTGATGAAACCTATGTCACAGGCTTTCTCTTTCTAAAAACTTAAATACTAGACAACTACAGACGGCCACACTCATAACCTCAATTACGGTAGAATAGTCCAACAAACTTATCAATCGAATTGGCCTACTTTTCGTAGGGAAACCAACGTTTCAATAACTTTAAGTTGATACATTTCCACTGGCTGGTTTCGTGGTCATATTGGCACATCGGGGTGAGGGGTTGGAAAAAGAGGCGTGGATGTAATAGACAATGTCCTTTTACAAACAAAAGGCGACTAATTACGGATTTTCAGAAATTATATCTGGTGCGTCGAAAGGCACATAAATCACAGCTATTGACTACAACACAGCGTGCCAACCAGTAGTTAAGGGCGAACGAACAAGAAGAGGAAGCAGTGGTCATGTCATGAGATCAAATTTAGATTCATCATCATCATAAACCACTTCTGCCATTAAGCGACGTGGGGAGGAATAATTTGCGATCCAGTGCTCGTTGGCTGCCAGTGGCTATTGTCATGCAATGAAGGCGTAGAGTGTCTTTAATGTTGTCGATCCATGTTTTCCGTGGCCGTCCTTTTGTTCTTGTAGCTGATCTTCTGAGATGTAGTGCTTGTGATGGTATCTGATCTTGCTGCATTCAAATTAGATGGCCAAACCACTTGATCTGCTGTTTCCTGATGAATCTAGTACAAGGTGTCGTTCCCACAATTTGCCTGATAGATTCCTTATTCACTCGATCTCGTATGGTTAGGTTGGCTGCTTTTCTCAGGCACCTCATCTCGCAGGTGGTAGTTTTGCGTATATAGGCTTTAGGCAGTGTCCATGTTTGGCACTGGTAGCTTAATGTTGGAATAAATATGCTATTAATAATCTGTCTCTTTGCATTCATAGTTATGCTTGGATGTCTTAATAAAGGTGACAAATGGTATATACGTGCACTTGCTTTCTGACATCTGATTTCTCTTTCTCTGTCAGTTCTACCATCTTCTGTAGGTTATTTTCTCTAAATGTTTATGTCATGAAATCAGTATTTGAGGACGATAAAGTTAAGTGTTTCATGTCATGAGACCAATATTTAGAGACACATTTTTCTAGGTGTTTCATGTCATGAGACCAATATTTAGAGACACATTTTGAGGTGTTATGTCAAGTGACCAATATTTAGAGACACATTTTGAGGTGTTATGTCAAGTGACCAATATTTAGAGACACATTTTGAGGTGTTATGTCAAGTGACCAATATTTAGAGACAAATTTTGAGGTGTTATGTCAAGTGACTAATATTTAGAGACAAATTTTGAAGTGTGTTCTGTCAAGTGACAAATATTTGGGCACAATAGTCTAGCAGTGTCATGTCATGAAACTAGTATCTTGGGACACTATTTCTAAGTGTCTCTTGTCATGAGAAACATTTTTTTGGGAGAGTAGGTTAAGTTCTGTATAGATCTTGTATGTACAGCTTTTTTTAATGTACGTTCATGTTCTGTAACGTTTCATATTTTGCCTGTTGTAGCTATTTTATCTTCATAAAAGTCGAGACACACTGCATAATATTAATCTTCATTCATTAAGCCTAAGGCATGGTGTCTTCCTCGCGTGCTAGAGGTCTCGGGTTCAAGCCGCGGTGAAAGCTGAGATTTTTTTTACGTAGACTTCTAGTAATTTCCCCCTGGTCTCTGGGTAATAAGACCGGACGTCCGTGTGTATTGTTGCACATTTAAAGAATTTCTTGGCAGTTGGATTTCGAAAAAAGTATCCTAGCGGCACTGCCTGAGCAAAATTTAGATTTAGAAAGCTATCCAATGTATTTAAGGATCATCGCCGGCGCAACAAAGTTCGTGCACTGCGCTTAAATTTTTCAGACTCAGGCTTGAGTTACAAGAAAACGGGGCACTTATGGGTTACACCCGTGTGCCGTGATGTTGATCAATATAACCAACATAAAAATAAACACAGGTTTATCCAACACGGAAATAGTGCGAATAGAAACACATGACCTTTACGCCCTCAGGTCTGAAAAGAAGTGGTTAGATATGGCATCTTAATGTGTGGATCCAGTGGCCACATTATTAAGGAGGGCAGGAATAGACTCACAGCTTCATGGAACGAGACTGAAGTCTAGTCGAGGAGGAAACAACATAACTTTTTGCTGGTTCTAAATGTGGTGTTAGCACTGGCATTCCATCTTTTGCCAGGTCTCTGTGATGTGTCCTCCCCCCCCCCCCCCCTCCCCCCCCCCCCCCCCCCCCCCCCCACCCCCCCCCCCCCAACCCCCTCCTCCTCCCTTTTCCCCCAGCGTAGCGCTCTACGGCAGTTGGTAGGATGTATTCTTTTGAAACCATTTTATCTGTCTAAACTTGCTCAATACTAAAAGAACAATTTCAATTAACAGAGATCCATTAAAGAATCATAGTGTAAGAACACACCACCATGTTTAAACCGTATACGAAGGAAGAGGACAGCTATACCTGCACGCTGAGCCTAGAGGTACAACAAAAAGCCAAAAGGGAGTTAAATGAGGACCCAAAAACTCGACTACTGGAGGTCAAAAGTTTGAGAACTCGACTGCAAAAGGTTCCAGGTATGGGGTTAAAATGTTCTACCATTAGTGGTCTAAAAAAAACTGTATAAACCATGTAGTTAGTTAGTTTTGTATCCTTTATATGACGTTGCAAACCAATCCTCGCATTTGTTGACTGCGGTTTTAGTAAGCACATTTTACGTTCAATATATCTTCTTCTTCTTCTTTCGTTCGCATGAAATAAATTGTCTATATCTGCAAAGCCGTCTCTTGTATGAATTTCACTGTCTTTTGTAATTCACTAAGCGGCCCGTAAAGTTTGACTTCCACAAGTGTCTCTTTTGGCCAAATGTTTTGCCTGAAAGCGTTGAATATGGGACAGTCTTGAAGGATGTGATCTGTTGTTTCAGGTGCCAGTCCACAAGTACACATGGCCGATTGGCCAATCTTAAATTTGTTGTACATGTGGGAGCGAAGTCTATTGTGCCCTGTTCTAAGGCGAAGGATAATAACTTGCTCTGGTCTGTCCATAATATGGTAATCATCTTGTGCCAGTTTCGGTGGCATTCTGATTGATTTGATCATTCTCTTCTTCTGTTGATAAGAGACTGGTATGTCAGGTTGTTCTTCAGTTGCACCTTCCTTAGCTAGTTGATCAGCTTTTTCGTTTCCGGGAACTCCACAGTGGGAAGGTATCCACTGCATTACTAATTTACAGCGGTTGCCTAGTTCGGATAATAGTGTCCGTATGCTTGGTAATTTTCCAGACTGGAGTGACTGAAGTACTGCTTTTGCATCTGTCAGGAATACCACTGGTTGTGAAAAATACCCTGTATTTAGTAGTTTCTCTACCGCTATCTTGATGGCTTGAACTTCTGCATCATAGTTGTGACAGTGCTTTCCAGTTGGTAATTTGGCTGTATCCCTGGTATTATTAGGATACTCAATGTACACTCCCCGCACCTCCGTTTCTGACTGCGCTTTCTGCTGACCCATCTGTGTAAACACGGACCCAAAGGTTCTGCGGGTATTCATCATCAAGTAAACTGAGGGTGGCTGTTTTGCGCTGCACACTGTTTTGTTCTTCCTTGTCAAATACCTTTTTCGTTTTCAGTCTTGATGCATTACTATTTACAGCGGTTGCCTAGTTCGGATAATAGTTCCGTATGCTTGGTAATTTTCCAGACTGGAGTGACTGAAGTACTGCTTTTGCATCTGTCAGGAATACCACTGGTTGTGAAAAATACCCTGTATTTGTAGTAGTTTCTCTACCGCTATCTTGATGGCTTGAACTTCTGCATCATAGTTGTGACAGTGCTTTCCAGTTGGTAATTTGGCTGTATCCCTGGTATTATTAGGATACTCAATGTACACTCCCGCACCTCCGTTTCTGACTGCGCTTTCTGCTGACCCATCTGTGTAAACACGGACCCAAAGGTTCTGCGGGTATTCATCATCAAGTAAACTGAGGGTGGCTGTTTTGCGCTGCACACTGTTTTGTTCTTCCTTGTCAAATACCCCTTTCACTTCAGTCTTGATGTGTATTGGAAACTTATACTCCTCTCTCCAGGGGGTCCGTTCTGGGACAGCATTTAAGGATCTATCAGTTGCAGGTAAATCAGTGGTTTGTCTGCCGAGCCGTTTGGCCTGGTGGATAAAACTACTTCTCTTTAGTCGTCCCAAAGCTAAATTTTTGAATCTTTCATTCATAGGGTGACTGGGCATACTAAGAAACTTTTCTGCTTGTAAAAGCATCTTGGTGTCTCTGCGTTCACTTAGTGCTTGGGTCATCCCCATTTTCTCCATCACAGCTATAGGTGTTGATTTCATACTGCCTGTGGTAACTCTGAGTGCTTGATTTTGCACTTTGTCTAATTCTTGCAATGTGGTTTTTGATGCCGAACTCCATGCTGTTGATCCGTATTCAAGATGTGGTCGAACACTTTGTTGGTAAACTTTTCTAAGTATTTTCCCGCTAGCACCCCATGTGGTTCCACTTAGTTTTCTCAGAATGGCTACCCTCCTTCTGGCTTTGGTTGCTGCCTTGTTGATGTGTTTTCTCCATGTTAATCTATCATCAAACGTTACGCCGAGGTATGTGGGCTCCTTATCCTCTCTCAGGGGTACTCCATTTATGTGCATGGCGCCTGATTTTTGTTTAGGAGAAAGGGTAAAGAGAGTGGTGCTGCATTTGCCTATGTTGATGCTGACACACCATTTGTCGGCCCATTTAGCCATTGCATCTATGGCTCTTTGTAGTAGTCTGGTGGCCACTGTCGCATTTTCATTTGTACACCAGAGTACCAAGTCATCAGCATACATTGCAGCTTTAATTCCATGGGGTAGTTCAGAAAGCAGGTCGTTGATATAGACTAGGAAGAGTGTGGGGGACAGGACACCTCCTTGTGGGACGCCATGGCGCAGCAAAACTTTCTTGCTCTTAAGTCCATCTATCTGTACTCGGGATCTTCTGTTATACAAGTATGCTTTGACCCATTTGTACATACTCCCATTCACCCTGCAGTCTCTCAGTTTCTTCAGTAGACCTTCTTTCCAGACCTTGTCAAAGGCTTTCTTCAGATCTATCCATGCCGTTAGCACTAGCTTCTTTTCCTGGAAGGCATCCTCAATTTCTTGTGAAAGGTAAGTTGTCTGGTCTTCTGTGGAGTAGCACTGTCTAAATCCTGCCTGCTGCGGCGTGAAAATGTTTTCACTTTCCAAGTACCATTGGAGTCTAAGGTTGACAATACGTTCCATTGTTTTACAGAGGCAGCTGGTAAGACTGATCGGTCTATAGCTGGAGGCATCAGAACTGTCCTTTCCTGGTTTAAGCAGAGGTATTGTGATTGCTTCTCTCCATATTTGAGGAACTTTGCCACTGGTCCAACAATGATTAAAGATCTGTAGCAGCTTTATTTTGGCAGTTGTTCCAAGGTTCTTGATCATTTCGTTGGTGATACCATCAATTCCAGGTGATTTTCCCATTCTCAGCTTTGATATTGCTAATTCTAACTCGCTGGATGTAAATGCTGCCACCAGTGCCTCAGGAATTATATCTTTTTGTCTTGTATGTTGTTTGTTTTCTTGAACCTCTCGCTGTTTCTCTGGGCTGACATTAATGTTGCTGTCTTCTGCAAAGGAATCTGCAAAGTGGTCAGCTGCCTGTTTTCTTGTTAGGATGGCTCCCTCTTTGCACAGTGCAATATAACCATTTCTCCCTGTATTCTCATCATTAATTTGCTTAATTAACCTCCACAACTTCCTTGTGTCTCTTTCAAAGTTTAGGGACTTTGTCTTTTCCTGCCAGCTTCTCCGTCTAGCCTGCAGTTTGGCTCTTTGAAATTTGGCCTTTGAATGTTGGTAGTTGTTAAACTGCTCTTGACAAGGTCTGGTCTCAGCCTGTTTTCTTTCTGTTTCCATATTGTTGTGCAGTTGCTCCAGATCGCAATTCCAGTACGGTTTGTATTGTTTACGCGCACCTCTTGGAACTGCTTCTAGGGCTGCCTGCAGTATGTGTTTGCTCAACTCTTGGACTACTTTTTCTACGTCATTATCTGTGTTAAGATTTTTCCAGCAGAACATTTGTGCGAAGCTGATATAACTTCCAGTCTGCCTTCTTAAAATTCCACCTTGGCAGTGTGCTGCTCTCTCTTACAGACTGGCTTTCGATAGTTAGAAAGACTGGCCGGTGGTCACTGCCTCCTAGTTGCTTCCCAACAGTTCTGGTAACATTCAGTTCCATGTCTGCTGAGTGAAAGGCTAGGTCTGGTGTCGAGGTGGTATGCCATGCTCTAGAGTAGAAGGTTGGTGGGTCGGTTGGCTTATTTACGAGGATGAACCTATTCTCATCCTGCCAGTCCTCTAGTTTCTCTCCTCTCTGGTCCATATGATCGTAGCCCCAACTTTGGGAATGGCTATTAAAAATCCCCACAAATGATCATTTTTTCATTTATTAGTACAGTATCCAGTGCCTGAGGGCGGTCGCTCGGACAGTAATAGTTGGTCAGATGTAAATCTGTATTTTCTAACTTGAGCTCAAGAGTTTGATACTCAGCACCTTCCATGTATGTTTCAATCCGGCCCGCAAGGATGTTATTTTTGACCAGGGTAAGAATTCCACCTTTTCTCCTGTCTTTGCGGTCAGATCGGAAACACTGGTAGCCTCTGATCTTAAAGGCCATATCTTGTTTGAGATACGTCTCTTGTAGGCAGCATACATGTATCTTCTCTTCGTTCAAGACGTTTTCTAATTCTAATTTCTTGGTATGTACTCCCTCCGCGTTCCAGTGCATTATTTTAAAGCTAGCTGTATTTTCTGCTTTTCTAGTTCTACGGGGCATGAGGGGGAGGCTTCGAGTATTTGAAGCTGGACTCTTTCTTCTTGTCGTAGGCCGGTAAATCGAACCACGTGTACGTGAGTGGGTCTCATGGTGGAAATCAAACTTATTAGCAGATATAGAAATATTCCCTGTTGCGTTTGTGCGTGGCATCCTGATTGCTGTGGTGCGCCTCCTGGCTGGTTGCCTCCGACTTCAGCACCTTGTTATGCTAGAGTAGACTGGGGTCTTACCAGTGGACTCCCATGTTTATAATGGGAGCGTGGCTCCTACGCGGTTACATTATCGGAATTAGGACACGGCCGCCGCCGTGGCTATTTTGTGGGAATAATTCCGTTATAACACCCCTAAACCACATAATGCGTGTATCCACGAACAAGAAAATATCCATCGTCAATTAATTAGTAATAATCGCACTCTGTTATCAAGAGAAAAACACCGATTAAGTGAAAATTTTAGAATAAAATCGTGTGTCGCCGCAGACACGTCCTCACGCTGCCATTTCTAAACCGGAAGTCCCGTTCAATATATAATATATTATATTTCATTGCTTATTTACAGACGGCTCTCAATACCATTATCGATTTCAACGCAAAGCAGTCTGCTGCCGAATCGCCAGTAGCTGGAATCGAACTAGGTATCTCAGAATTACGAGCTAAGCTCGCAAACCCCCAAGGTAACAGTACCTACTACCTATAGTAAACAAAGTAAATGCTAATCGTTCAGACAAAGATATATTTAACGTTAAACCACAGAAGTTGCTAGCACATTTGCTTTTTGACTGAAACCCATGGGTACCCGGAAATGTTTTTGGGCACAAAGGCAGGCAATTAAAATGGGTCACTCTCATCGAATGTTAGTAAAAAGAATATATTTTTATGGTGGAAATTGAAATACCTATGTAACGTAGATTTCTAATTTACCTAATTGTGATTCTAGTAATGGAGGCGTTGACTTTGGCCGTTTTGCAGACAAAACAATTCGAAAATGGTTTGTCTTTCACGACAGAGCGTTTTGAAAACCCCATAATTTTTACTACATTCCATTGAAATGTGCACGATTTGGCTGTCATTGCATTGACCCATCACTAATGATCATATTCCACATAGTTGAACTCGAAACGGGCCACAGTAAATACCAATACTCTAAAAATGTGGTCTTCAACCTTTTTTTTTTTAGGTTGCACCCATTTTCACAACATGGCAAGCCCCCCCCCCCCCCCCCACTTCCACCCACCCCCCCCCCCACGCTTTTCTAAGTATATGTCAAGATCCCGTATGCTCCTCTTAGTATATGGCAAGACTTCCACGCTCCTCTTAGTATATGTCAAGACCCCCACGTCCCCTCACACTCCTTTTTAAATTGCAAGACCCCACGCTCCCGTCCCCACCGCAACCCCTGCATCAAAACAAAATTGGATGCAACAGAGGAAGAATTTGTTCTCAAACTATAATTAAATGCCCACATATTAAATTAGACTTTTAACATTAGATATAAAACCTGTTCATGAAAAATATAATATTTTTTAATGTTAGTATAACGTATTATTACAAAAATACATGGACTCATTTTCAAAAATGGATTGCCCCCTCCTGAGACTTGCTCCCCCCCCCCCCCCCCCCCCAGGTTGGAGACAGTTGGTGTAAAACATAGTGGTAATCACTATGTAGTACTGTTTATTTTGTGTGTGCTGATAAAGGCAACGTTCGCGTTTTGTTTGTATTTGTTATATTGTGATGCTTGCCAATATACTTTTCGTTCGGGTTTATATCTTTTCTTGATAATCAGTTGGCTGAATAATTTTCCCAGTGTGCATCGAAGCATAAATCTCTTTTCAACAGACCGACTATTCTTTAGAACTACTGTTTTCATAAAGAGAGAATCTGAAACAAACAGTATTCCCGCATATACGAGGTCCATGGCATTTGTGGAATAAACTAAAAGAACAAATTGCCACATTTTCACGAGCACCTCGAACAGTTTTTGCTTTCCCCAACACTGTATCGTTATTTCTAACAAGTTATAGGTAATAATACAAACACTCGCCCGTATCCTTAAAATACGAAATATCTGTGTACTGGCTTACTGAGTTAGAAAAACGAAACGGGGTGACCAACATAGCATAAAATGAAACAACTAATGTGTACGCTAAACAGTGCAAGACTAGCATATCATTCGATGGTACACGTAACGGTAAACTCCCCCACGTCCCGCCCACATACACACTAGCTTACTTCTAATTGGTAGTTCCTGAACCTGTCACCGTGGCACAAGGTTACGGGGGTGATCGGTAATGTCGTTGATATCGCGTGTTGTATATTTCAGCACGCTACCGCTTCTAACACTCTAAGAAATTTGGAGAAACTGGCCCTAACACAAACACCCTATGTCACAGGCATTCTCTTTCTTTGAATGAAAACGTAAATACAAGATATCATAGAAAGCAAACAACAGAGCGGGACACACCCGTAACCTCCAGGAAAGTTACCCAGCCTAACAAACTTGTGAATGACAAGTGACCTACTCTATTTAGGGAAATTAACGTTACTTTAACCCATTTGAAAAACAATCAAGTCACGCAAAATCATTACCAGGTTTGCTGCCCAGAACGGATGTCAAGTTTCTCCTACGTTTCTTACGAGCTCGTAAGTTTGACCAGGAAAGGACCTTCGAACTGGCGAAGAGATATTACGACATCCGTATGCAGTCCCCTGAAATCTTCAATGATTTGAAACCAACTCGAGTTCGTCATGTTTTTGCAGATGATTTTATTGAAGTTCTCAAACATCGGAACAACGAGGGATGTAGGGTTATCATTTGCAGACCAGGTGAGTTAACAACCTCAATGATAAATAGATAAGCTAACTGATCGCCGTAAGATGGGTTCACTAGCAGATTTTAAAATAGGTTAGCATGAAAAATTAGACACACATCTATTGACGGCGTTAGTTGGAGTTGGTAGGACAGAAGGCATGGCTTGAAAACTCCTGCGTAGATCAATATGCATTTTTGCAGGTTGACTTTAATTTCCTATGTCCTTTCGATTCTATAATTTTCAACTGCACAAAGCTACTTTTTTCTTAAAACTGCGTATTTCTTTTATTTTTTTTCCCTTAACTTATAATTTTTAACTGCACAAAGCTACTTTTTTTCTTGAAACTGCGTATTTCTTTTATTTTTTTCCCTTAACTTATAATTTCTGTTCAAAAAAAAAAAAAGTAATAGACACACGTGTGGAGATTGTTTTAAAATCAGTTTACATGGACAGCGATGCGGGAGTAGTATATTTTGATAGCCTATCCTTACTCAATGAAAAATCCGCAGCTCACGGTGCATTTAATCTGTGGATTACAGTCTGAGAGTGAAACGCCATGAAACACGTGCAGTCTGATGTTTTGAAAAGTTCCCCTCACTCAATTTACTCGAGTTGTAAAAGTAATGTTTCGCTCCCCAGATTCCGCCCCTATAACTCTATAACTTCTGATTGATAAACATTGAGCAACATAACCTTGGCACAAGATTACGGAGGTGTTTCGCAATGTATTTGATAGCCAGTGTTGTATATTTCAGCACCCTAGCGCTTTTAACCCTCCAAAAACATGGACAAACTCGTTTACACAACCTTCCCAGAGAGTGCTGCAACCTATGTCACAGGCATCCTCTTTCTCTGAATAAAAACAAAAATTCAAGACAACCCAGAAAGCACACCCGTAACCTGCTAGAAAGTAGACCAGCCCAACAAACTTATGAAGGATACGTGACCTACTTTGTTTGGGGAGTCTAACTTAAACCCAACCACTCGTTTCTGTGATGATGCTGATTGTTTGCTTTGAATGACTACTGGGTTACAAATTTTTGAAGTTTGATAGGACTTCTGTGACAGACTATATTAACTGTCCGGATAATAACCGACTGAGGTAACGAAGTCAGGCGCTGGGAGCCATGACTGGACGTTTATTTATGTGTCCTAATTTTTGAGACGTGTTGGTCTAATTTACAGGAGAGTCAGGTTATCTGAGTCTAATTTACAGGGGAGTCAGGTTATGTTCTGCTATGTATATGTCGGCGGACGAACAGCAGCTACACGTAGTGTTTTACTCGCTATTCTGAGAGATTACATATATTCTTGCGTTCTCGGACTTCAGGTAGGAAATGAGTTTACTTCAGCTGTCAGCGTTGACGGCCGACAAGGAGAACGGCGCTGCTTTTCTGCAGCAATATGGCGTGATTGCCGGTGAGAGTGTCGACACAAAAAACCTGACACCATAGTAGCTTACACAAGCGGGTCCTAAAGGTAAAGACGCATGGATGAACGGCCAATCACGGTCTCCCTCTGCCCGACTTCGTTAGTTGTACCTAGTAATCTATGAACTTCAGAGCGCCAGCTCTGATTAACCACAAAGGCCCTTAACACATACAGACACACACGCACACGTGCACACACACACACATTATATATATATATATATATACCATAGACACACACACTAACACATGCACGCAGGCACGCACGCACACTCACGTTTTTTTTAAACTTTTTTTAGATAACTGGGACACCAGTCGGTACCCGCTCATCGATTTTCTGACAGCACTGTATCTTGTAATAGCAAAGATTGCAGAGGTACGTACAATCGCATTTGTTTTACAGGTAAATAATAGGATGTGTAATAGTTGTAGTAGCAGCAGCAGCACCAGCAATAGTAGTATCATTACTACTACTATTACGACAATTACCGTTGCCAGTAATAATATTAATTTTAGTAGTGGTGATGGTGGTGGTAGTGGCGATGGTGGTAGTAGTAACAGCAGTGGTGGTGGCTGTGATGTTACTAGTAGTAGCACCAGTGGCAGCAGTAACAGCAGCAGTAGTTGTAGTAGTACTAGTAGTAGTAGTAGAAGTAGTATTAGTAGTAGTAGTAGCAGTAGTAGTTGTTGTTATGTTGTTGCAACCGTAGGTATGTTGGTGATTGTTTCTTGTTAAGTTTGTGTTTATACATTTATTCAAAAGAAAACTTTCAGCTCAAACTTACATCGAGAAGAATTTTTTTCTTTTAATCATTGACAATTTCTGCCAGCTCCGCTTAGCTCAAAATGGGTAGCAGGTAATGTCCATGGGTACAAAGGCGGACACATCACTGACTGAGGTCCGATTTGACTATAAATAATAGAAGTCTAGCATAGACATAGAGTCCCCCCCCCCCTTTTCTCTCTCTCTCTCTCTCTCTCTCTCTCTCTCTCTCACTCTCTCTCTCACTCTCTCTCTCTCACTCTTTCTCTCTCTCTCACTCTCTCTCTCTCTCTATGTATGTATGTATAAATGTATGTATGTATGTATGTATGTATGTATGTATGTATGTATGTATGTATGTATGTATGTATGTATGTATGTATGTATGTATGTATGTATGTATGTATGTACGTACGTACGTACGTATGTATGTACGTGTGTGTGTGTTTGTGTGTGTGTGTGTGTGTGTGTGTGTGTGTCTACCTTGTGTGTATGACTGGAGTGTTCCATTTGTATTTCACTCTAGGAGGAAGACACACAAGTCTGTGGAGTTCATTTGATCAGTTACCTGGAGAAACTGACCTTCAAACATGCAACCCAGATCACACCCGGCACGGCTAAGTTTTTTGTCAGCACCGTCCAGGTAAAGAGTTGTCAGCTGTTGCAGAGTTGTTGTCGGTGGTTAGTTGTTAATTCATTGTCGCTTTGTATGTTAGCTAGCTGGTTGGTTGGTTCAGTGGTGGTTGATGGACTGGTGGTTAGTTAGTCGTTGGACTGTTGTATGTATGTATAAAACAATATAACCAGATTGTGACCGGTGCCATCAGTATTTGAACTCTGCGCTGGCCGCTGAAGATGGGGACGGAGCACGCCTGGGAATGCCCCGAGTGCTGTGATATCCATTCTTGACTCAACTCAACTCTTTGGACTGTTGTTTGAAGACAGATTTTATATTAATTGCTAGATATCGTTTACAATAAAGGAATTGCTAAATACACACAAACACACACACGTATATATACACACATTATTATGTATATTCTCTTCCCAGAGATTATTAGACTTAGTCGCCACCTTTCAAGTCCAAGTCGGGTGCTCAGTCATTGCCACCAAATCTAAAGTCATGACTGAAGACACCAAGAATGCTTCCGAGTCGAATCCTGAATCAAGTCACTTCATATTTCAAGTCATTTGCAAGTTGTGCACGGGACAGTTGTTATGGACCAATCAAATGTGTCGAAAATACAAAATTGGAAATGACAGTTCGAAAAACTCACCAACTATACATACAAGCGGAAGAAGTCGAATGTGAAAGCCTTATATATTGAAGCAGTAGGAGTCGTACATTGAAAGCTTCAAGTCGCTAGTCGAGTCGCAAGTCGTTAATTTCGCAACTTGAAGCCAGACTACCAAGTTGCTCGACTCGAGTCCCGACCTCTGCATCTTTCAACTTCTCTCTTTATGTGTCAGTCTGTCGCTCTTAATCCTGTACTCTCTCTCTCTTTCTCTCTCTCTCTTTTTTTTCCTCACACACACACACACACTCTCTCTCTCTCTCTATCTCTCTCTCTCTCTTGCTCTCGCTCTCATCCCCATAAAGAGACGTCAAACTTCCACGTGTCTAGTCTTTCATATTTTTAAGTGACTTCTGTATTTCTTCTTCTTCTTCTTCTTCTTCTTCTTCTTCTTCTTCTTCTTCTTCTTCTTCTTCTTCTTCTTCTTCTTCTTCTTCTTCTTCTTCTTCTTCTTCTTCTTCTTCTCGTTCACCGGCTGTGAATTCCGGCGGAACGTACTGGTAGTTCGTCCATCTGGACTTTTGGCTTTTGCCTGTACCTGAGTTTTGCGTCTACATCCGTTTTACTGGCTTATTTGTTTGCCATTCCCTGCTTCATCGGCAGACGTACTCTGTCTTCAAGGGAACTTGTGTATTTGTTGCAGGATGTTCTTCCCATGAGACTGAAGAGATTCGACTTCGTGAAGCAGCCAGCCATCTGGGATATCGTCTTCACTGCCTGCAAACCATTTATGAAGAGTAAGCTATTGAGTAGAGTAAGTGAACTGTAACATTATTCCTTTTATAGTCCATGCTGTGGGGCGTTGGTTGTCTCATAATCCACAATCGTCTGTTTCGTGAATTTTTTATCAGTTCTGTCACATATGATCTTCCATATCATAATGCCAGACTGCCCAGCATCTTCTCCATCTCCGCTGCTTCTCCTCTCCTCCAGCTTTCCGACTGCCACGATGTACTTCAGTTTCCTCTTTCTCATGACATGACTCAATAATGTAGACTGTCTCTTTTTTCATATGGGCAATTAGTTCTTTTCGTGAGTCAGTTTCTTTTAACATATTTTAATCTGTCCAGGGTATTCATGATTCACTTCCGTATATCAGGACATAATTTATATAGCTTTAAAAAACCTACTTTGAGTATTTTACAAAGAAAAGTTATGTCTGCAAACCAATCGTTCAACGTAAATGACGTTAGAGGGAGTTCAAGAACTGCCTTGTCCGGTAGGTACTTGCATCTGTTGTAACATTCACAAACAGACGAAAACGCTAAAGGATCTCGAACGTTTTACCACCCACAAATTATCCTGCAAAGACATACACTCTTGTGGAATGTGAGTTCTCATTTCTTGACATTTTCTTCTCTCAAAAGGAGACATAAACTGGGATGTTTGAATAAATATTAACTAAAGAAAAAGAGAGAAAGAAAAAAATAAATAAATAAATAAATAAATAAATAAATAAAGCAAATGGGTCACATCACTATAACTGGTCTGTTTCTGTTCCAGTAGGAATTCCAGAAGATACCCTTCACTGTCTCATTTGACAGCTAGGGAAAACATCAGTCTCGGCAAATCTAGAAGCTGGCACACGCAAAAAAAAAAAACGCATAAGACAGCCGCCAGATGTGTCAGCCCAAGAGTCCCCCACAGTCCTGTGTGGTAGATGTTCTCAGTATGATGCATGTTTTTCAAATGGCGCCCCTGCTAGTTTCGCGCTGTCAGATCAAAAGTTCAGATTGTATTCTGATCTCGCTGCCCCTTCCCCTACCTCTTTCATGTTCAGCCTGATACGCCCCCATGTCTGGTTTTACGATCCTGCTCCACTAACAGAATTACAGCTCCTTGTCAATGGAAGCAGTCAATCGGGACAAGTCGACATTTGCACACACATAAAGCTCCATGACCTTGTTGAAATAAATTTAGTACACAAGGCATGTCTATAACCAACCTAGTAAAGTAGTTGCAGTGCACATAAGGCATGTGTGACGCTTGCTGACGACTGCTTGATTCCAGAATAATGTAGTTTGTGTGTGTGTGTGTATGTGTGTGTGTATGTGTGGGTGTATGTGTGTGTATGTGTTTGTATGGGTATGTGTGTGTGTGTGTGTTTTGAACTTACCCTTACTCAGCTAGAGTGGCAAAGGATCAGATAGGTCATCTCTGCGTAAATAACATATTCAGACGTTCTTTGACGGATGTGCCAGCATATAGATAGGCAAATATTTTTGAGGTTTTGAGATTTTGAACAACGGATCAACATCATGACACACACGTGTAACCCATTGTCTGAGTCCGAAAAAGCTTAGCACAGTGCACAGGCTCTGTAGCAACGGCGAGGATCCTGAAATACTTTAGGCAAATTTTAAACTCCAAATTTTGCCCGGGCAGCGGCCTTAGGCTACTCTTTTCGATTTCCAACTATAAAGGGATTTTGTTTACGTGCGCAACAATACACACGGGGGAGAGGCATATATGGACAGGGACCATGTCTTTTATGTGAGAAAACAGAAGCCAAAACTAAAACAGCTGCAGAGAAAAACGCGCTCTAATGAATGACGACTCCACAATTTTAAAAAAGCACAACATTTCAAACTCAAGCTAAAAACAAATTTGAGACATATGAGGTGGATGCAGATCAGAGCATTCATCACAAATGGAATGAGACAAAGGCCATACTGTTTTTTTTTTTTTTAATTAGCAAGCTCTGCAAGATTGCTACAGTATGTCATTAAGGTGATGTATCTCTAGTTCTCAGTCACCATGACTTGCTCAATTGCTTCAGTCAATTACTCAGTTGCCGTCTCCACAGTAAAGGTTGCCTGCAATAGAGCTACAACACATTCTGTCTATTGCTTTGTTTGTATACTCTCTCAGACTGCTGCTGATCCATCTCTTGATGTTGTCCCCCCACTTTTAGCGTTGTCTACATCTTGTTCCCTTACCCTCGATCTTCTCCTCTAGCATGTTTTTATAAAGAGAGTATTGTCTTTTAATGGGGTCTGAATATTTCTGTTGTCTCCTTTTATTTCTTTCAGCAATAATTTTTACTTTGGCAATTTTTCAAGAACCTCTGTTTTTGATTATTTGTGTTTCTAGGAAATACGACCCATTTTTCTGTATAACCATATTGTCAGAGAATCAGTTAGATTTTCTAATTGTTCATTGTCCGATTTTCTGCATCCTACAGCAGGGTTGAGAATACACAACATCTGACGATTCTCATTTTGGGTGTACTGATTATCTCTCTAGCTGTCAATAGTTATGATTTACAGCTGCCAACATTTGTTACTACATGCACAAGATAGGATAAACGCGTTTCTCGCTCTCCGTTGACTGTGTATGTATTCACTGTTCGATTTCTTGCTGGCTTTCTGTCCCTGCAGATTGTGGCCAACGGAGACATGTTTGAGAAGCTGCATGCCGTAATGAGCCCCGAGTTTCTGCCCACGGATCTTGGAGGCCAGCTGCCACCACACAGCAACAGGGTTCGTTTACCGCTTATACAGTAACACTAAGTACTTCGCGAATGGCTGCTATAACCTAATCTTTATGCCAGGTTATGCGGGTGTTTAAGGGAATAAGCGTGCAGATTATATTGCAGACTCTGAGGCTGCTAAGGCTGGTCTGCTACTTGACAGAAGCGATGTTATCAAGGCCAGGCGCAGCACTTACTGGTAAGAAAGTGGGGATAAAGAACAAAGCTGATGGACATGGGGGATGTAGCCTGGAGCTGCAAGAAATGAACATTTCACTAAACAGACAAGACGTTTCATTAATCAACACCGAACAGGCGTCTTCAATCATTTTACACTTGCGGAGCTTTTAGGGGAGAGATCGGAGCACTTATGGGTCTGTCCGGAGTCCTGTGATGATAATCCTTACTAATCTCTAATCACAGAAAATTTATATATATATATATATATATACATATATATACATATATATATATATATATATATATATATATATATATATATATATATATATATATATATATATATATATATATATACATATATATATATAAATTGCTATACAAAGATTGTCACAATACCATGAATCAGAAGAAAAGATATACAAAAAAATCTAAACATCAAGGACGACAGGCTAGTGAACAGCAACAACTTCTCTCGAAAACTGAAATAATTTTGGCCATATCAAGCGCAACGGCAATTGGAAAGAACAGCATCAGAATAAATAGTGTCAGGAAAGAGGGTCACAAAGTTGGGCGCGGATTGTGCAGACAAGAAAGTGAAGGAGACGGGAGATCTGTCAAAAGATCGAGTTTCTGTCAGGTGGGTTGTGATGAGAGCGACGTTTTTTAAAGGACCTGCTACATCACACACACACACACCTAAATATATATTCCGAGATGCAGTGTCCAACTACACAACACGTTCGGCCGATTCTCACTACAAAGTGTCTAAAATAAGGTGTCAGTACTCACCACAAAATACCTCAAAAGAGGTGCAAGTGTCCCCCTGCTAACAAAGTCCAACATGTGTCCGGTAAACTAATTGTAAGCTTGCCACTCGGTCGTTCAGGTAGCCAGACTGCTTTAATTATGCTACCGCAACGACTTCTTATCTCACAGTACCTATTGCAAAGTCACCAATTCGTCTTGTCCCTGTCCGATAACATCCGGTAATACGTGCAGTAGGAGATGAAAACCCTGAGCCTCATGAAGTCAGGTGGGCCCACTCTGAAAATGTATAGGAGCTCGTGGGTCGAAACATTTGTCAACGAGAGGTTACTTCTATTGATAATTGGTAGACTCCTGCTGTACATGCTCCCCTGTGGAGTTTATTCTTATTCTTATAGATTGGCTGGAAAACACGATGCCTACAAAAAGGTGCCGGTAGCCCGTACTATAACGTACTACTAGAATTTATTTTAATGCCTGATTCGATCACTCCCTTTCTAGAGGAGGCACAGCAATAAATGTTTATACATTTTCGTGAATATGAGCTATGTCTGAGCTTGGAATAAAATGTGTTGTCTGCTTATATTTTCACACCATGACTTGATCGAGTCGCTGCTGGCCTCAGACACCCAGTTTGAAGAAGACAACAAGTTTGGTTTCGTAAAGATGAATGTGAACAGCGGCAATTCTGTCAGTAAAAGTAGAGATGCCGACATGCAAGGACTTGGTGGGACATTCAAGAAACTGGAGATATGAAAGAGAGATGACTGCTGTTTTAACTTTTATTCCTTCTACTTATGGTTCATGCTGTGTGGCTTTAGTATTCATGTCTGTCTACGGTCTTCTGTCTTGTGCAATTTTAATAAGTTCTCACACAGATGATCGTACATGCCATAATGTCAAACTGTGAGCACATTCTCTCTCGGTCTCTCTCTCTCTCTCTCTCTCTCTCTCTCTCTCTCTCTCTCTCTCTCTCTCTCTCTCTCTCTCTCTCTGCCGCTATTCGACTCTAACTTTTCAGCTGCCACGATGTACTCCAGTTTTCTCCTTTTCATAACATGAACAAAGAATGCAGACTGTCTCTGATCTGATCATTAGTTCTCTTCGTGGGTTAGTTTCTTTCAATACATCTTCATTAGTCTTTTCGTCTGTTTAGTTTATTCTCATTATTCATTAAAAAAAAAACGATACATTCGCAGCTTCTAAATAATTGTTCAATTATCGACAACTGTCCATGATTCACTTCCGTGGTTCAGAATTGAAAAAAAAATTGCATCGGCAATTTTTTATTTTGTAAAATGCTGTCTTTGCTTGAGCTATTCTACATTTAACATCTCCCATCTGATGTTATCAGGGTAGCCAAGTACTTAAACGTATCAGTTTGCTCGAGGATTGTTCCATTTTCTTTATAAATACCATTACTTTTGTTTTTCTGCTGTTCAGAAGGGGAAAAAAAACTAGCCTATATACATCCAACCTTTCGGGGAGACGTCATGCAACGTATATATGACCGACTCAAAATAGCAGTCGGTCAAACCTTTTACGCAGCCATGCCTGTTATGAGATTTAAAACCACCAGGATTCCTACACCACCAGTAAAAGAACCAGTGTCGACGTACGCCAGATCTAACTGTATATACCAATTTAAATGCACCTGTAACGCTGCATATGTGGGCAGAGCTGATCGACGACTGGAGCAACGGGTTGCTGAACATATTCCACTATGGGTGGTAAAAGCAATGCAGAACACTAAAACCTCAACAACAAGGAATCAGGTGACTGGTCGAAATAATCCATCATCAGCAATTGCGTGCCATATTCTAAATTCCAGGCACATCCTTAACAGGGATGATGCATTTCGAATTATTTACAATTCGGCCAACCGTAGATTACTTCGATACGCGGAAGCTTCCGCGATTGGCAGATTGAAACCGGATCTATGTAGGCAAAAAGAAATGGTCGTTGCCCTACGCTTACCTTGGTGAAACAGTTTGAAATGTACTCAAATTTGTGTTTCAGTTTCTAGGATTCAGATATTTGCTTCATTTTAATTAATTGTTACTGTAGTATGCACCTGATGAGATACAGCGAAATATGCCAGGCAATAAATTGTGCAGTCTATTGTTTGTGTCTTCTTTATTCATGTTCAGACTTTGTTTTGATTTTCTGTTTCAATTATGGTTTTATTTCGCACCTTATTTTTCTCATTGTAATTCTCCTTACCGCTTTAGTTATGTAACTCATTAAATTAACTATTCGACGTTCTCCACAGTCAACAGCACTCCGTGTTTTTTGGTGAAGGTATGACTAGAGTTTTCAAAAGTTCATAGGTATATATGTATATATATATGTATATGTATGGACGGGGATAAATGTCATTGGCGTACCAACACGCCTCATAAGGAAGCACAATCAAAACCACACTCAAACAACGGACTCAATTATAATCAGGCCCTCAGGGTACATTGAAGAGTCTAAGTTTATTATTATTTTTTTCTATATCAGTGCAGTTTTTTTACACACAAGGAATGGTCAGGAGTACCAGCATGCCACAACAGGAAAGACCATTAAAAACCACACATAAACTACTCAATTATAAATAAGGCCCTCATGGCAGTTTGAAGAGTCCCAGTTTAATGTTTTTTTTTTACACACAAGGAATGGTCAGGAGTACCAGCATGCCACAACAGGAAAGACCATTAAAAACCACACATAAACTACTCAATTATAAATAAGGCCCTCATGGCAGTTTGAAGAGTCCCAGTTTAATGTTTTTTTTTTACACACAAGGAATGGTCAGGAGTACCAGCATGCCACAACAGGAAAGACAATTAAAAACCACACATAAACAACGGACTCAATTATAAATAAGGCCCTCATGGCAGTTTGAAGAGTCCCAGTTTAATATTATTTTTTCTATATCAAGTCAAGTCAGTTCAATAAATGTCATTGAAGAATTTTGTCAAAGCTGTTTTTTTTTTTTTTTTTTTTTGCTATTTATAATTTTATGCTTTTGTTCTCTTCTTTCTTCTACGCCATTAAAATGGCGGTTGGCACGTTATTTTGTGATCTAACACTAGGCTGATTCGACCCGACATATGAAAAACCTAGCTGGCCACTTGTTTCTTCATGGTTGTTAGGAAGTGCGTCCATTTCTTATCTCTCCAATATGAGACGTGTGAACCCTCCCAGGAATCTTTTCTACCCGCCTGAAATATTTCCCTATACCCCTCTAAGGGTAAACTGGACCCGCTAATTTTATAAATCATGGAACGTAACAGAAACATGCCACATGATATGGCTGACATGATGTGACTCAGAGGTATATTTTGTAGACCAATCGTCCCTTGGTGGGTGATGTGGTCAGCATCACACCGGTCGCCTTTACTTCCCTGGACTGTACCTAGTACCTACTGAAGGCTGGGTCGACCTAGGAGCTAAAACCGTTTTTGAAAATAGTTCGAATCCATCAAGATCCGAACCCAGACCATCCAATACGCATGTGAGAGTCTAGTCGCTACACCACGACGGTTCTCCATATCAAGGTAACTAAAATTATACTTTTGACCAAATACTGCTCTATTCTCAACGTCTTTTTTGTTCCGCTAAATGTCGCAGTAAAATGTCTTCTCCTTTTTCAGCATTCCGAGCCCTTGAGGTTCATTGCTGCAGATATCACCCGCCTCCATCCATCTCTTTAGTTGGCCATCTCTTTCCAGTTGATGACACCAAGTGTTTGCAGGTCTGATTAGATCTTATCTCTCCATTATCTTCTTGGTCTGCCTCGTGGTCTACGACCATTCATTGCCCTCGTGTATGCAGTTTTTAACCTCTCTGTCATCTGACATTCTTTCAATATGCCCCAACTGTTTCAGTCTATTAGATCTCATGATGATGATGCCAGTGATCAGTGGTGATTTAAACATATTGTGAATTAAAATATAAAAATATGAAAGTAGAAGATATTAAGAAATAATTTTAAACAGAAATTCTTCATAAAAAGATGAGGGAATGGCTTAACCCTGGAAAAACTTTTGTTGGGGAGGAGCATCAGCCTTAGTTCTACCCCCCTTCTCCCCCCCCCGCCCCCACAGAGCGACATGGCCATATACTTTAAAAATGGCGGGGGGGGATGAGGGGAGTGGTCGGGGGATGAGAAGCGGCCTGAAAAAGGCAGCAGACCACCTGTCTTGAGATATACACAATAATTGTTATCTTCTTCTTCTGTTCTGGCTGTTCGTCCATTTCTGGACTTCGGTCTTGTTCCAGAACTTTGGTGTTGCGTGCAAATCTGTTTTACATATCAGACTTTTCGGTATGCAGACTGTTGGTTCTTTGCCTCTCCGGCAGATGCACTCGAATTCGAACCCCCCCCCCTCACCCGTCACACACACACACACCAGTCGACTCTTACGACATGCTTGATACACAATGTCCTGCTTCCAGGAGCATCAAGAGGTCTGCAAATCCAGATTCCGACGCATATGGCAGCTCATTTAACAAATGAGCTTTGGAACATTGCTAACTCAAATCGTTACAATATGCAGATTATTGTTTCTAGCAGCAGCAGTAGCAGTAGCAGCAGCAGCAGTAGTAGTACTAGTAGTAGTAGTCGTTAGTAATAGTAGTAGCGGCAGCAGTAGCAGCAACAGCAGCAGCAGTAGTAGTAGTTAGTAGTAGTAGTTAATAGTAGCAGCAGTAGCAGTAGCAGCAGCATCAGTAGTAGTACTAGTAGTAGTAGTCGTTAGTAATAGTAGTAGCGGCAGCAGTAGCAGCAACAGCAGCAGCAGTAGCAGCAGCAGTAGTAGTAGTTAGTAGTAGTAGTTAATAGTAGCAGCAGTAGCAGTAGGAGCAGCAGTAGCAGTAGTAGTAGTAGTAGTAGTAGTAGTAGTAGTAGTAGTAGTAGTAGTAGTAGTAGTAGTAGTAGTAGTTAGTAGTAGTTAGTAGTAGTTAGTATTAGTTAGTAGTAGCAGCAGCAGCAGTAGCAGTAGGAGCAACAGCAGCAGCAGTAGCAGTAGTAGTAGTAGTTAGTAGTAGTTAGTAGTAGTAGTAGTAGTAGTAGTAGTAGTAGTAGTAGTAGTAGTAGTAGTAGTAGTAGTAGTAGTAGTAGTAGTAGTAGTAGTAGTAGTAGTTAGTATTAGTTAGTAGTAGTAGTAGCAGTAGTAGTAGGAGCAACAGTAGTAGTAGTAGTAGTAGTAGTAGTAGTAGTAGTAGTAGTAGTAGTAGTAGTAGTAGTAGTAGTAGTAGTAGTAGTAGTAGTAGTAGTAGTAGTAGTAGTAGTAGTAGTAGTAGTAGTAGTAGTAGTAGTAGTAGTGGTAGTAGTAGTAGTAGTAGTAGTAGTAGTAGTAGTAGTAGTAGTAGTAGTAGTAGTAGTAGTAGTAGTAGTAGTAGTAGTAGTAGTAGTAGTAGTAGTAGTAGTAGTAGTAGTAGTAGTAGTAGTACATTTTACCCCACTAGGACATCACATAAGCGATAAACACCCGATAACAAAATGTGCCACCATGTGGATGAGGATCACCCGTGGAGAGGTCCCAGAAACCGCGCTCAGATATTATGGCCGGGCTATATTGCGGCCCCTTGCAAGAGCCAGGGTGGGGCTTCAAAACAACAATGAATTGTATACTACAGGGGAATGACTAAAATAATATCTACTGTTTCTTTTTGCTGATTCTTGTTTATTTATTTTTGAGGCCGTTTTTCCTGCAATAAAGTTTGGCTACGATTCAGTCTGGAAATATTATATATCGAGATCCCAATTTCTTCCATTGTGGCATTTGTGTGCAATTGTCCGTAAGCCACAAGAATGGGTTTTCCCCATCATAAACTACCGCATCACAATGGCTTGAATCAATTCAGAAGTCCACTGTGCGAGGAGTCACCTTTATTTTTGTTCCGGGACACGCAGGCGTCGATGGAAATGAAAGAGCTGACAGATTGGCTGGATCCGCTATCACTACCGACGGTCGGCCTATGGATCATGCTGATATTATCAATGCCCTCAGAGAAATGGGAAGGATAGAGGACTTTGGTGGCAGTGAATCCACATCACTCGCCAGAATGGCAGACTTGGGAATTAAGATCGGCACAGCAAAAAACGAGACGCACACCGGACACGTCAGAAGACTTGTTAATCAACATAGAACTGGTACTATTAGCCATCGGACGTTGGGATTCATACTGAGGGGAGGATCTGAGCACCTATGGACATGTCCGGAGTGCAATGATGATAACCCAACTAACTAACTAACTAACTAACAAACTACCGCATCATAAATCAAACCTTCGTTCGTCGACGACTGTAAAACTCCTTTACAATCTCAAAGCCGCATAACAGCTTTTTTTTAATGAAAAACACATTTAAAAAAATTTCAAAATGTTTTATTTATTCATTTACAAGTGAAAGAATATCTTTACTAATGTAATAGGCTGGAGAATGCAAAAGGCTGCTGTTCAGCAGCTTAACGATTTTGGTTTGTTTGACCGATACCTTCATTTAGTCAGGTTGGTTTACGACAGCAGAAAGGTCTGGCCACTGTGTATAAAAAGACCAGCTCACTCGCTATTTGGGTCTATTTGACTTCCAGACGCACCCTGTGGAGATCTGCCCAGCTGTTGCAGCTCTGCATATTGGGCTAGCCAGCATGGGTATGGGCGACTGCAGGGGAAGACCGGTTGTCAGACTGGTTCGTGTTCGCGATAATGGTACGTTTCATTTGTTTAGGTGGTGTTAGATTTGATTTCCGTTGTGCATCCTTGCTAAGAGATAGTTTGATGGCAGGTCGCTACAACTGATTTGTTGGTCTGGTGGCACATTGAAGCCTAACGTTCATGTTAAATATGTTTCGTTTTTTTTTCCATTGTTGAGGTAATCTCGCTGAGCGCATGGTGTCATTATCATATTTCCTTGTTAGCTGGAGATGATTAGCACTTTAGATCCTGCCTCTGGTCGAGCACGTTGCTTGTTGTTAATGTAATATTTGTAAAGTATACGTTAATTCTATGTTCAGTTGAGTAAAAAAAACAGCTGTTTAATGTGATGATTAGAATTCATTTGCTTGATTTAATTTAGGACCTGTAGTCCGTGCACGTGGTTCGTCCAGGTGTATGTACCCATGTAGTTAGGTGATGTAACTCACGATACAGATATTCTTTGTCTGGATCTTAGTGAAATATTCTAGGATCTCTGCGCAGAAGAACCCCTGTCTTTCCTTCACTTTCCTGTTTTGCTGTTTAGCGGGGAACAATTATATTTTGTTCTAATAACAATTTTCATTTATTTCACTTACTTCTGTTTTTTTTTTCCACTGCTTTTTCCTTTCCGCTAGCACACTAAAAAAAAATGATGTGTAGTTGCTAAAGTTTGACAATGAGTAATTAAGAGGACCGAAAACTAGAAGCAGTAAAAGTGGGGTGATCAAAACAATGTTGTGAATATCTCGGACAGAGAAGAAAATAAACACTGAGATACTGAGATCTGCCAGAAGATCTTCCAAGAATTACGAAAATAAAATCTAGAATTATTATAATCAATGTCTGTTTTCTTGAGACACGAACAATGAACACGGAATTTAAACGTTAGACTGAGAACCCATAAATTAGTTTCAATCCTAGTCGAGGTTTTAACCGCTGCAATTGAGTCACCAAATACTTGCTCCGTTTCTGTGCCGGTGAAAAACAAAGGAAGTACCCTGTCTGTTCCATTTGAAAAACTGGTGAACAATTAGTCTCGACACAATCCAGAAATATTGCTCACGCAGTAAATACAGATGGTTGTTGCTGGAGACGTCAAAGCAAACAGTCGACACCAGAAGTGCATTTTGTTGTTGATGGAAGTAGTCAGTCACAATAAGCTGGCTATACACAGGAAAAAATATTTACATAAGGTATTTCACCAGCCCAACGTGTAAACTGGCAGTATTCGGAAAAGTGCCGCATCATCATTATCATCACCATCATCCTCATCAGCATTATCATTAGGTATAACCATCTCGTTTACAGTTTATAATTTTCTTCGGCAAGCTTTTTTCACTCTCATCATGTGGTCAGAGAACACTCATTATCTCTCTCTACCTCTCTCTCACACACACATACACACACAGACACACACACAGTTTTACACAATGTCCTGCTCACAGAAGTCTTTTCCAGGCAATCGTTGGCTGCTCTAGTTTCAACAATATAAACAGTATAAGTCGCCGAAACCACATCTCTTCGACCTTCAAGCTGTTTCATCTCTTCGTGAGCGTTGAAAAACAGAAACAAATGCAAGTTTTGATAACTATATATATATATATTTCAACGCTCACGAAGAGATGAAACAGCTTGAAGGTCGAAGAGATGTGGTTTTGGCGACTTATACTGTTTATAATATATATATATATATATATATATATATATATATATATATATATATATTTGTGATTTTACAAACAAAAAAACACGTCTTTTTTCTTATTTATTTTACAAATAATTAAACAAAAATATTCTCCTATTATCGATATATTTAAAATATGCGTATATTTGTTGAGGTTTTTCAGAGATGAGCTAGTTGGTGTAACTTAAACGGAATGAGCCTCATGACTTTATATAATTTAGGGATACATCAAGTCAAATCCTGCCCTGATGACAGGAAATAGTATAAAATCTTGATTTGCTTACATAATTTTATTTATATTATTGAGCCGCTGGGCCATCAAGTGTCAACTGGTCAATAAAATGTTGGTCTAGCCCTATATGCCCAATAGGCCCTGAAGACGTGAAAACGGGTCCTTTTATTGAACCGCTAAAAACAGTTTCGATTCTTGCGTTGCTAAATGAAAACAGTTTAGATTCTTGAGCTGCTAAAATAGTTTAGATTTTTAAGTTGCTAAATGAAATTGCTTAGATCCTTGAGTTGCTAAATGAAAACAGTTTCGATTCTTGCGTTGCTAAATGAAAACAGTATCGATTCTTGCGTTGCTAAATGAAAACAGTTTCGATTCTTGCGTTGCTAAATGAAAACAGTTTAGATTCTTGAGCTGCTAAAATAGTTTAGATTTTTAAGTTGCTAAATGAATTTGCTTAGATTCTTGAGTTGCTAAATGAAAACAGTTTCGAGGGTTGAGCTGCTAACACATACCAGTTTGGATACTTTAGTCAGGTTTCTGAAATAAAACATTACCTGTTATTCAGTCGCTAACATAAATTAATTTCGGTTTTGTTTTTAACAGGCTAAGTAAAATCAGATTTAACTGAAGCTGCTAACAGAAAATAATTTCTTGTCTGGGGTTGCTCAAAGAAAAGATTTCAGATTTTCAGTGGCAACACATAAAAAAATGTCCTCGTAGGAGTTCCGGGGACCGATTGTGGAAAAAACAAAAATAGACCCACTACCTCCCCAACAAGCATGTCGTAAGAGGCGACTCTTTTGGGGAAAAAGGGTTCCTTTAAAGTCGGGGTGCATCTGCCTGAGAGACATGGACCTAACATTCTACATACAAATAAGCAAATTATTTAAAACAGATGCACACACAAAATTCAGGTCCTTGAATAAAGCCGAACGAAGTCCAGAAATGGACGAACAACCAGGTATTTCCGCCAGAGTTTACAGCCGGTAACGCAAACAAAACAACATGAAATAAAAATTGCTGAGAGGTGGGGGGGGGGGGGAACTACATTAGAATTAGAGCTGGGGAAAACATAGCAATGTTTATATTTGACCACCCAAAACCAGTTGTATATGCACATCAATAATGGCACATGGACTAATCTACAAGAAAGAAAAAATCAGATGTGCTAGTTATATGTCTAGTTTCTTGAATGTCCCTCCAAGACCTTGCATGTCGGCATCTCCACTTTTGCTGACAGAATTGCCGCTGTTCACGTTCATCTTCACGAAACCAAACTTGTGGTCTTCTTCAAACTGAGCGTCTGAGGCCAGCAGCGACTCAATGAACTCCTAGTATTTGAATATACAAGTTATAAAAACATATTATTCAAAGATCACGCTGTAGATCAGGGAGTCTCCGTGGTGAAGTGGTCAAGCCGTTTGCCTCGCAGTCTGCAGGGCGGGGGATTCGTTTCGCGACGGCCCAATTTACTTCACGAGTGCAATTTTCAAGGAGACCAGTGGATTGTCACTTAAGCTACGGGGTTTGTCCTTTGTGCGACGTTTACAGCAGGCGGCTAGCCGTTTTGCGGATAGGGTCAGAGCCATTTGCAATTAAAACCCGGTACAATTAAATGGATCCTTTAGACTTTTAGCTGAAGATCAAACAACAACAAAATAGCATCATATTGTATGTTTATACTTCCCAAACGACGCAGACCCTATTGCTACCCTGTGCAGTCAGTTAGATGTAATGGATAGAATCTGGCCCACGACTGACTGACTGACTTTCTACCCCACCAGGACATCACACAAGCGATAAACACCCGATGACACAATTTGCCACCATGTGGATGAGGATAACCGTGAAGAGGTCCCAGAAACCGCGTTTAGCCGTTAGGCCATATTTATGACCAGGCTACATTGCGGCCCCTGGCAAGAGCCAGAGTACGGCTTTAAACAACGACAAATTGCATCCGGAAAAGGACGTCAATATTATTATTAACCGGCCAATCACTGTTGGACCTTTATTAACGTTCGTTACAAGGTTTTTTCTTAGACGTTATCGTTTCTTTAGTCCATTTCATTAGGTTCAGTTTCTGTTCCTATTTCTCATTCGCCGTCCGCTGCTCTTGAAGATAGCTCAGCATATCGCTATCTTCGTTGCTGCGAAGAGTTACCAGAAGATCTTGCCAACGCTTAACACTCAAGGAAAGGGCGATACGGATATACAGACAGTTACTGGTGCCATCGGAACTGAAACTCTTCGTTTTCTGCTGAAGATGGGGAAGGAGCGCTTATGTGGGTGTCCCGAGTGCTATGATGTCGATTCTTAATTCAACATCGCTATTTTCGTTGCCTTATAACTGTTGATAACAGCGGTTGTAAGGTCATTTCTCTGATTTCCTCACCTGTCTTGAGATGATGCCATTTTATGTTCATCACAGACAGACAACAGAAAGGCTTCTATTTGGCATTGTTTACTGTCTAACCACTTTCATAAACAAAAAAAAAAAAAGTGACCTTGGCTCCCAGGCCGAACCAGCCCTTGAGTGGGTACCAGTTGCAGTCCTGGGAAGTAAAAGCGGCCGGCTTGATGTTGACCACATGGTTTATACAATGTAGGTCTAACCCTATATGCCCAATACGCCTGAAGCCAAGTAAAAAGATTTCTTTGCTTCTGCTTACTTTACTTACTGTGTTTCTAGCGGCTATGAAAACGCAGTGAATAGTGCTCCATTAACTGGATCTCTCCCCCCCCCCCCCCCCCCCCCCCAATCAATAATCACTACTATATTTTGAAGACCTGAGTCCCCCGATCGACACAAACTCAATATAGCATCAGGAAATACCCACCAAAGTAAAGGGGACAGGCGTCATGCTGACTTCATTATCTTACCCCGGCCGAACCGTCATAAAATCGGGGGTAAGACCATACATCTAACCGCCTTTAGGCAAGGAAATTAAACGTAAATGTTTGTTATTATTTTTAAAACCACAATTTGTTGTAAATTTGAAAGTAAAAGACCCCCAACCCCTAGATTTTTTTTTCCATCAATGACATCTTGGTATATGATGCTAGACTAGTATTTATTTTATAGACTAGTGGTCACTCACTGGGTGGACAACAACACTTATGTCGTGTTTTCTTCCTGTGATATTTCTAGGATCGCCTCGGAATTCGAACCACATCTTTTCTAAAGCTGCCGGATACAGATTCGAACTTCAAACTTTCAGGCCTGCTGGTGAGCGCCTAATTATGAGGCTTCTATGACTTCGCGATTTAATGACATTCTAGAGTGTCGAACATAGCACAAGCTTCGTAGCTCCCGCAACGATCTCTATGGATCTCGGTAAAAATAACACTCATACGCAAACGACGTTCGGAAACAGTTCCACCATTGATCTTCGGGTCGTTCAGCCGCTTTGCCACAGAACTCTTCCAAGACAAGTTGGGATTTGCTGCTCTCAGGATAGCAGAAAAAGCACAAAACTTGAAAACCGACTTGGAACACACACAAAAAACACGTTATCACTATTGCAAGAACAGAACAACTGATAAAGATATACATAAAAAAAAAAAAAAAATCCATCTAGAAAAAGACCCTAAGTATACAGGGTACATAATATCATCCAATTGAAACAATGGATGTAAATTAAGCACACACAAAAAATGATTGCGGAATAAACATGCAACAACTGACACCAAAAGACAACTCTTAAATACAGTATTTTTTTTTTTTTTGAGGGGGGGGGAGAGGGGGTTGAAAAAAAAGGGGGGGGGGTGTTAAACATCTTGGTATCAGTGTCAAACGTGGGTAAAAACAACAAAACGAAACAACCTATATAAAATGTCTAGGACGAATCCTAATCAGAAATGACGATGACAAAAAAACAGTTTTAAGTTTGATGAAGTTTGAACAACGTATCAACCTCATGGCACACGGGTAGTAACCCACAAGTGCTCTGTTCTTCTTCTAGCTCAAGTCTGAGTCCGAAGAAGCTCAGCACAGTGCACAGGCTCTGTAGCACCGGCGAGGATCCTGAAATACTTTGGGTAGATTTTTAACTCTAAATTTTGCCTGGGCAGCACCGTTAGGTTACTCTTTTCGATTTCCAACTGCCAAACGGATTTTTTACGTGCGCAACAATGCACACGGGCGTCTGAACTCACTACCCAGAGACCAGAGGGAATTACTAGAAGTTCAAGTCCACGGGAAACAAACCCAGCCCTTACCGGGAATGGGACCCGGAACCTCTAGCACTCGAGGCGGACACCATGCCTCGAGACCACGCAGCTCCCCAAGAAACAAGTTGGAACAGAACCAGTAACAGTTGGAACAGAACCAGTAACAGTTGGAACAGAACCAGTAACAGTTGGAACAGAACCAGTACTAAACTACGTCAAGAGACAACAGATCAAATGGTTCAGATATGATTCAAGACCAACATCACAAAATGCACCACAGAGAGTTATGTCATTTGGACACAAAGAAAGCTGATCTAGGGATCGACCACGCAAGCGATGAGTCGATATCGGCAACTACGGAGTACATACCAAGGCTCGTATCCAATGCCTATTCAAACCCTAACGATGAAAGAACTGAAGAAGAAGGAGGAGGAGAAGAAGAAGAAGGAGAAGATTATGACGATGACGACGATGAAGCTTGATCTCCAATGCCATTCGACTAGGTACTTGATGTTGATGATGATAATAACAATTATGACAATGATGGTGGTGTTAAGGACGATGGTGATGATATTAACTATGGTGGTGATAATAACGGTAAAAATGTTGACAATAACGACGACTGTGAACAAAAACGTCAAACTAACCTTGTTGCTGTGTGCAGGAAGTTTCCCGCCGAGATCGGTAGGCAGAAACTCTGAGTTGATAGACGAATGTAGCTTGTCAAACTTGTCTCCGTTCAGAAGAACCTGTAGGGATTTGTTTTTTTAACTGTCATTACTGCTTGTTTTCAACACTCTTTAAAACATATGATATCACAACGTCTATTTTGAGAATGGAGGTGGAGGCAGTCACTGCTGCCTTCCGCTGGCTTGAGAATCAACTGTACACATTGTCCGTGATTGTAATTGACTCAAGGAGTTTGCTGAGAAGTGGAAACAGGCATGCTACGTGCAGAGTGATCACTTTAGAGTTCCAGGGTAGTTAGCGTCCCTTGAATACTTTATCCAGGTCCCGCTGGTGTTTTGGGAAATGAGCAGGAAGAAAGACTGAACGGTTCTGCACCACTTGGTGATGAATTGATGTATGACATGCCAGATGTTGTGAGGGCTTTTCGGGAGCGAGTAAAAAGTGCGGAGTCACAGATGGATCGTTACTGTCTGAGGAGAATGGGGCTGCAGGGAGTTACCAGGGTATCTGGCCGACGCTCAACACTCAAGGAAAAGACGAAACGGATGTACAATTATACAGTTCCTGGTATCATTAGAACTCTTTGCTTGCTGCTGAAGATGGCAATGGAGCGCTTATGGGCGTGTCCCGAGTGCTGTGATGTCGATTCTTAATTCAACATTGAACTTTTTAAGGCTGTGTAAGTGTCTTTGAATACTGGCCATGAAAAGCAAGTTGCTCAAAATAACAATATATATATCCAATCAAATATGTTAGCTTTTTTATCTCTTAAAAAACGGTAAACTCGGGAGATGTGAACCAGCGTCATTGCACACGTTAATAAACCATAAGTGCTCTGCCAACAGTACGGAAAGCTGATAAGAAACTTTCGCCTGTGTCGCCGTCAGCACGCAACTCCGTAGCTACAGCGATTTTCATCCATATACCCCAGAGTGTTAAATCTTCTACTTATCACCTAGAGACTGGGTGAACCCCGGGAACCGCTCGGTTTCGAACCGTGGGCTGCAGCGAGTCGCAGCTGGATTTGAAAGCGAGACTCATATCGAGTATTACTGCCCAAACTGATAACTGCTGCAGGTAATTGTACTGACTAGGTTATTCTGCCCAATACAAAATGGTTTAGCATTGCTCGCTACCAAGTAGCCATGAAAAGTTTTCTTTCACTGTGTGTCTGTGTGTGTGTGTGTGTGTGTGTGTGTGTGTGGAGGTGTTTGTGTGTGTGTGGAATGGTGTATGTGTGTGTGTGTGTGTGTGTAGGTGTGTGTGTATGTATGTGTGTGTGGAAGTGTGGAAGTATGTGTGATGGCGGAAGAGTTGTTGGTGAAATGTATGAATGTGACAGTGCACTTACTCTATTCAACAGCTTGGCTTTCATGAAAGGCTTGAGCACAGTGAAAACCATATCCCAGAATGTTGGCTCTTTCACGAAATCGTAGCGTCTTAGTCTCATAGGTACTACATCCTGTAACACAGCCATTCAGATTAGTACTTGTGTCGATAGCAAGTTGAAAAAAGGTGTACATAACAGTCTTCTAATGATGTTTTAATATATAAGACTAGCTTGAGATGGGTAGGGGGCAAGGCGGTATGTAGAGGTAGGTTTTATGACGTGTGATGCATGTAGGTATCGGAGGCTGGTAAATTTAGGTGGCTTGGTACATAAAGCAGACTTGTGGCTGTGGAGACTGGTGGACTGGTTGCTGTGGAGACTGGTGGCTGTGGAGACTGGTGGCTGTGGAGACTGGTGGCTGTGGAGACTGGTAGCTGTGGAGACTGGTGGCTGTGGAGACTGGTAGCTGTGGAGACTGGTGGCTGTGGAGACTGGTGGACTGGTGGCTGTGGAGACTGGTGGCTCTGGAGACTGGTGGCTGTGGAGACTGGTGGACTGGTGGCTGTGGAGACTGGTGGACTGGTGGCTGTGGAGACTGGTGGCTGTGGAGACTGGTGGCTTTGGAGACTGGTGGCTGTGGAGACTGGTGGACTGGTGGCTATAGAGATTGGTGGCTGTGGAGATTGGTGGCTGTAGAGACTGGTGGACTATTGGCTTTAGAGATTGGTGGCTGTGGAGACTGGTGACTGTGGAGACTGGTGGACTGGTGGCTATAGAGACTGGTGGCTTTGGAGACTGGTGGCTGTGGAGACTGGTGACTGTGGAGACTGGTGGCTATAGTGACTGGTGGCTGTGGAGACTGGTGGCTGTGGAGACTGGTGGACTGGTGGCTATAGAGACTTGTGGCTGTGGAGACTGGTGGCTATAGATTGGTGGCTGTGGAGACTGGTGGCTGTGGAGACTGGTGACTATGGAGACTGGTGGACTGGTGGCTATAGATTGGTGGCTGTGGAGACTGGTGGCTATAAAGACTGGTGGACTGGTGGCTGTGGAGACTAGTGGCTGTGGAGACTGGTGACTATGGAGACTGGTGGACTGGTGGCTGTGGAGACTGGTGGCTGTGGAGACTGGTGGACTGGTGGCTATAGAGACTGGTGGCTGTGGAGACTGGTGACTATGGAGAATGGTGGCTATAGTGACTGGTGGCTGTGGAGACTGGTGGCTGTGGAGACTGGTGGCTATAGAGACTTGTGGCTGTGGAGACTGGTGGCTATAGAGATTGGTAGCTGTAGAGACTGGTGACTATGGAGAGTGGTGGCTATGGAGATTGGTAGCTGTAGAGACAGGTGGCTGTGGAGACTGGTGGCTGTAGAGACTGGTGGCTGTGGAGACTGGTGGCTGTGGAGACTGGTGGCTGTGGAGACTGGTGACTATAGAGACTGGTGACTATGGAGACTGGTGACTATGGAGACTGGTGACTATGGAGACTGGTGACTATGGAGACTGGTGACTATGGAGAGTGGTGGCTATGGAGATTGGTAGCTGTAGAGACTGGTGGCTGTGGAGACTGGTGGCTGTGGAGACTGGTGGCTGTGGAGACTGGTGGCTGTGGAGACTGGTGGCTGTGGAGACTGGTGACTATAGAGACTGGTGACTATAGAGACTGGTGACTATAGAGACTGGTGACTATAGAGACTGGTGACTATAGAGACTGGTGACTATAGAGACTGGTGACTATGGAGACTGGTGGCTGTGGAGACTGGTGGCTATAGAGACTGGTGACTATGGAGACTGGTGGCTGTGGAGACTGGTGGCTATAGAGACTGGTGACTATGGAGACTGGTGGCTGTGGAGACTGGTGGCTGTGGAGACTGGTGGCTGTGGAGACTGGTGGCTGTGAGACTGGTGACTAGAGACTGGTGGACTATAGAGACTGGTGACTATAGAGACTGGTGACTATGGAGACTGGTGGCTATAGAGACTGGTGGTGGGACTGTGGAGAGACTGGTGACTATAGAGACTGGTGACTATAGAGACTGGTGACTATGGAGACTGGTGACTGTGGAGACTGGTGGCTATAGAGACTGGTGACTATGGAGACTGGTGGCTGTGGAGACTGGTGGCTGTGGAGACTGGTGGCTGTGGAGACTGGTGACTATAGAGACTGGTGACTATAGAGACTGGTGACTATAGAGACTGGTGACTATGGAGACTGGTGGCTATAGAGACTGGTGACTGTGGAGACTGGTGGCTATAGACTCGTGGCTATAGAGACTGGTGACTATAGAGACTGGTGACTATAGAGACTGGTGACTATAGAGACTGGTGGCTATAGAGACTGGTGGCTGTGGAGACTGGTGACTGTGGAGACTGGTGACTATAGAGACTGGTGACTATAGAGACTGGTGGCTATAGAGACTGGTGGCTGTGGAGACTGGTGACTGTGGAGACTGGTGACTATAGAGACTGGTGGCTATAGAGACTGGTGACTGTGGAGACTGGTGGCTGTGGAGACTGGTGGCTATAGAGACTGGTGACTATAGAGACTGGTGACTATAGAGACTGGTGACTATGGAGACTGGTGACTATAGAGACTGGTGACTATAGAGACTGGTGACTATAGAGACTGGTGACTATAGAGACTGGTGACTATAGAGACTGGTGACTATAGAGACTGGTGACTATAGAGACTGGTGACTATAGAGACTGGTGACTGTGGAGACTGGTGACTATAGAGACTGGTGACTATAGAGACTGGTGACTATAGAGACTGGTGACTATAGAGACTGGTGACTGTGGAGACTGGTGACTATAGAGACTGGTGACTATGGAGACTGGTGACTATAGAGAGACTGGTGACTATAGAGGACTGGTGACTATAGAGACTGGTGACTATAGAGACTGGTGACTATAGAGACTGGTGACTATGGAGACTGGTGGTGGACTGGTGACTGAGTGGACTATGGAGACTGGTGACTATGGAGACTGGTGCTATAGAGACTGGTGGACTATAGAGAGACTATGGAGTGTGCTATAGAGACTGGTGGCTATGGAGACTGGTGACTATAGAGACTGAGTGGTGGCTGTGGAGACTGGTGGCTGTGGAGACTGTGGCTATAGAGACTGGACTATAGAGACTGGTGACTATAGAGACTGGTGAGACTATAGAGACTGGTGGCTATAGAGACTGGTGGCTGGACTGGTGGCTGGAGAGACTGGTGGCTGTGGAGACTGGTGGCTGTGGAGACTGGTGACTGTGGAGACTGGTGGACTGGTGGCTATAGAGACTGGTGGCTATGGAGACTGGTGGCTATAGAGACTGTGGTAGAGACTGGTGGCTGTAGAGACTGGTGGCTGTAGAGAGACTGGTGGCTATAGAGACTGGTGTGAGACTGGTGGAGACTGGTGACTATAGAGACTGGTGGCTATAGAGACTGGTGGCTGTGGAGACTGGTGACTATAGAGACTGGTGACTATGGAGACTGGTGGCTATGGAGACTGGTGGCTATGGTGGGCTATAGAGACTGGTGGAGACTGGTGGCTATAGAGACTGGTGACTATAGAGACTGGTGACTATGGAGACTGGTGGCTATAGAGACTGACTGGTGGCTGTGGAGACTGGTGGACTGGTGACTAGACTAGGCTGTGGAGACTGGTGGCTATAGAGACTGGTGGCTATAGAGACTGGTGGCTATAGAGACTGGTGGCTATAGAGACTGGTGGCTATGGAGACTGGTGGCTATAGAGACTGGTGGCTATGGAGACTGGTGGCTATAGAGACTGGTGGCTATGGAGACTGGTGGCTATAGAGACTGGTGGCTGTGGAGACTGGTGGCTATGGAGACTGGTGGCTGTGGAGACTGGTGGCTATAGAGACTGGTGGCTATGGAGACTGGTGGCTGTAGAGACTGGTGGCTATAGAGATTGGTGGCTATGGAGACTGGTGGCTATGGAGACTGGTGGCTATGGAGACTGGTGGCTATAGAGACTGGTGGCTATAGAGACTGGTGGCTGTGGAGACTGGTGGCTATAGAGACTGGTGGCTATAGAGATTGGTGGCTATGGAGACTGGTGGCTGTAGAGACTAGTGGCTGTGGAGACTGATGGCTATGGAGATTGGTGGCTATGGAGACTGGTGGCTATGGAGACTGATGGCTATGGAGACTGGTGGCTATGGAGCTATGGAGACTGATGGCTATGGAGATTGGTGGCTATGGAGACTGGTGGCTATGGAGACTGGTGGCTATAGAGACTGGTGGCTATAGAGATTGGTGGCTATGGAGACTGGTGGCTATAGAGACTGGTGGCTATAGAGACTGGTGGCTATAGAGACTGGTGGCTATAGAGACTGGTGGCTATAGAGACTGGTGGCTATGGAGACTGGTGGCTATAGAGACTGGTGGCTATAGAGACTGGTGGCTGTGGAGACTGGTGGCTATAGAGACTGGTGGCTGTGGAGACTGGTGGCTGTGGAGACTGGTGGCTATAGAGACTGGTGGCTGTGGAGACTGGTGGCTTTAGAGACTGGTGGCTATAGAGACTGGTGGCTGTGGAGACTGGTGGCTGTGGAGATTGGTGGCTGTGGAGACAGTGGCTGTGGTGGACTGGCAGAGGTCAGACGCTGGTAGGCACTGACACGAACAGAAGGTCCTGACACAGACAGTAGGCATTATACAAACAGTAGGCACTTACACAAACAGTACGCAGTGACGCTAGTAGTATGTTTTCACAGGAATAGTAGGCACTGACACAAACCGTATGACCTGATACAAACATTATCCACTAACACAACAGTAGTCACTGATTCAAACTGTAGATGCTGACAGAAGGCACTGACCCAATCAGTAAGCGCACAAACAGTAAGCTAAGCATTAACACAAACAGTAAGCACTGACACAAACAGTAGGCACCGATGCAAACAGTAGCCACTGATACAAACAGTAGGCACTGACACAAACAGTAGGTGCTGACAGAACAGTAGGCACTGAAACAGACAGTAGCCACTGACCCAAAAAAGTATTCATTGGCTCAAACAGTATAAAGTTGATGTGGCCATTGACACAGTCGGTAAGCATTAACACAAACAGTTGGCACTAACACAAACAGTAGACACTGACAGTTGTTACTGACCCAAGCCTTAAGCACTGACAGAAATAGTTGTAGATTCATAAAATGGCGCAATGCCTGTCGTGCAATGTTGGTGGTGCCCGTATGTGATTAAAATTGATCGCGTGAGCAACTTCTGATCTGTTGGTGACTTATGCTACCACCAATGATAAATTGCATTGATTATGTCGGACTGTTTGTGTTAGAACTTCAGATGGCTACCGTATGCTTTAATGCGAGTATGCTAGATTTGCTGAGACAGCAGTCTGTCAATCTTTCCACAAGGGACTGATAAACATTCTGTGTTTTTTTTTCTTTGGCACAGGAGCAGAGCAAAGATGGGGTGACCCGTTTGCTATGAAGCTGAAACTAAGACTACCAGACTACCAAACTACCAGACAAATAACAGAGCTGAAAGATGTCACTTATTAAAACAGTAAGCACTGATACCAAAAGTAGACACCGACACAAACAGTAGGCACCAACACAATCAATAAAACATTAAGCACTATACAAACACAAGGAATAAACACAAACAGTAGACACTGACACGTGCAGTAGGCGCTTTGCACAGACAGTAGGCACTGACACAAACAGTGGTTAGTGACACAAACAGTGGCAGACTGGATACAATTAAACAACAGCTTGTGAGAAGTGCATGGTTAAGAATGCAATATAGAGCAGAAAGCGAACATTACATTCTAGTTTAAACTACAAAGAGTGCTACTGACAGAGTAAAATTGATGAGACGAGTTTATGAGGGTCACAGTTTATTCTATGCAGAGATATTCAGCTAGTGTTTACAATTCACATTTGGTGTGGACAGAATTGAAGATGAAGCTAGACGGGAACTCTCAATTGTTGCTAGTAAGGTGAACTTGCTGTCAACGTCAGAAAGCCGAAAAATCCAGATCGGTGATAACTGTGACAATGGATGACAGATTCATTTGTTAACCGAGATAAGTTTCGTAAGATTTCATTTGAAGATATGGGCAATAAAAAAAAATATTCTTCGTCCAGTTTATACTACTTTCTTTGTCTCACGAACAAAACACGTGTTATTTTTGATACTTTTAGATGTTGTTTTTATTGCCGTTGTTCTTTGCCTCATTCTCTCTCTCTCCTCTCGTTCCTCTTCCTACTTCTTCTAAAATACAATATATCTCTACTTACTTCAGAAATATTTGTCAATAGCAAATATATTGCTTTGATCATGTCTGCCAGCGGGTAACGTTCCACATCCCAGTTGGCTATCGAAAAATAATCAAGTAACATTTTAGTCTAAAACAGTTTCTTTTCTTCTGTCACATGTAAATTGAATCCAATTTGTATAATCACAATTGCTCGGCAAGAATTCTCTTACTTAAATTCTTGTTCAATTGCTTTTAAATATTATGAGAGTTAATAGTTGTCCCCATGTGGGATGCAATATTTCATTTTTTGTAAAACCCCACCCAGGCTGTTGCCGGGGCTTCTAAATATAGCCGGGTCTTGAATATGGCCTAAAGGCTGAAAGGGGTTTCCGGGATCTCTCCACGGGTAATCCTTATCCGCATGTTGGCGCTTTGTGTCATCGGGTGTTTATCGCTTGTGTGCTGTATTGGTAGAGTACAACTTACCTACATAAAGTGAATCCTCTTTGGCATAATTATAATTGCTAGGCAAAAAGTCTCTTACTTAAATTCTTGTTCAATTGCTTTTAAATAATGAGCAGTATCGATGTGCGAGCACCGCCTCTAATTGGTATCCACTTCAAAAGGGCATTAAATGAAAACCTTAAACGTGTGACATCAATTAGTAACCATGCTATTGTCTTGTTACATGTCAATATTGTCGTTAAAGATGTCAAGAGTGTCAAGTAACACCACGGTTAGACAAACACCGTGACGTCATAATGACAGTTTAAAGATAGCCGCCCCATTTGTGTTATCAACTGGGGGGAAAGGGGAGGGGGCCGGGGGGACATAGAAAGATATCGGCGAATAAAAAGGCTAGAATAGGGGAGGGGCACCCCCCCCCCCCCCGGTGCATGACCACAAGTGCAAGATGTGTTTTAATGAAGCACGAAGTTACAAAAAGGGATGACCTCTTTGACAGACTTTTCACGCTCGGGTCAGGCACACCGTAAAGTTATCCCAGAGTCGATTACTGCTGTTGAAAGTTTCGTATAGAAAAAAGAAACCCAAATTGGCTGTGAGTGACTTTGCCGCACATTTTAACATCAGTCAAGGCTCAGCATCCCACATCATCCATGATGAGCAGTATCGCACAGCGTCTGCTTTTCTTTGGTGCATGTCAAAATTGGGACGGCCATCTTGAAAATGTCATTATGTCGTCACCATGTTCGTCTGCACCTTGACGTCGCGTATTAAAGACTTGACACCATCATCAACAATACTGGCAGGCTGCAAGACAATGGTGTTGTTACTGTAATATCTATCACACTTTCAAGGTTTTTTTTTGAACCATATCGTAGTTTCAGTTTCTTGTTAGGGGATATTTAGTTTTTTAAAAATCGTATCAATATATCATCGTGTAGTGAATTAAAAGTCACGCTTTTCCAAACAAGCTTGCAAATCTTTAAGAATCTTTGTGCAGGTTACATATTTGGAAGTGTAAACGCTGGGACTATACGATCGGGCACTGTACTGGGATTATATGATGATTATTTGTGAGATGAGCATAGATCACGCAGATATCTGTAATTAGTTACAATAATCCTTTACGAAAACAAAATCACAATTTTCTTTATTATTCTACAGACAATCAGTTCGCTATTAAATATGACTAATTGATTTGTACCTTTCCATCTTTCCAGACAATAGTGTTATATTTTGCAATGGGAATGCATGAGACACAGCCTATGGCGAAGGCGAGTGTGAATAGCAAGACACGTCCGCGTTAAAAAAAATCTTCCAGTTATAGTATGGGATTTCAGAACCGCTGTTGTCAACACTGGTGTTTAGAGTGTTTCTTTTTAGACGCTCAGCTCTGATCTTTTCTGTAGTCATTTCTTCCTGTATTCTCACTCCCTTCCTGATGTGCCACTTCCACATACCACGGCCCATGGCATTTTGTTCCAACGAGCCTGTCAATACCTGTATCACTCATGCCTTGTTTGCATGCATATTTATATCGTAGTAGAGGTCGGCCTTGATATTATCTACCCCTTTTTAATTCACCATTGAGGATGTCCATAGGGATACTGCCAACCTCCATTTTCCAGAAGAGACTGTTTATCAAATATAACAGCTGTCTAAAACAGCTAACCTTTTCTACTATGAAATATTGTTGACATTTAATATTACTGCCATATGATTTGTCTAACACTAAATATCAATCACATGTTGCTATCATTAAATATTCCTACCATCAAACATTTCTACAATTAAATATTTCTAACATCAAATATTCTTGTCATAAAATATTCCAGCCATCAGATATTCCTACCATCAAATATTCCTAAGTTCAAATACTCTTACCAAATTACATTCATAACATCAAATATTGGTACCGCCAAACATTTCTGTCCCTTAATATTCTTACCACTAAATATTCCTACCATAAAATTTTTCTAGCATTAGATATTCCTACAATCACACATTTCTATCATCAAATACTCCTACAATTCAAAACTTTTACAACAGTCAAAACATTTCATTCATCAGATATTGTATATTATTTTCCCTCGGTCCAAATCAGGTCACTTCATGAAATTTCACCAATATTAAAAATTGACTCATACCAACTCAAAAAAAAAAAAGATAAAAATCCCTTATCACGCCTTAGGAGAATCGGGTATATGGGAAGAACGTCCCCTATTTTTACAGACCAATCGGCACTGGATGGGTAATGTGGTCACCATTACGCCGGCCGTCTTTACTTCTCCAGGACAGCCATCCTGGTACCCATTTCAAGCCGGGTCGACCTGCGACGCCCCATACCATGATAACAATCCATGCAGCCAGCAGTGGGTTTCGATCGCGGTATGTTGGATTACGAGTCTGACTCGCAACGCCACGGACGCCGCTAATACCAACTCACCTGGTCTTATAATGATGACCCTACATCCTTCACTGTCCCGATGCTTTAGAACCTCAATGATGTCATCATCAAATATATGGCGGACCCGAGTTGGCTTCAGATCACTGAAAATGTCCGGAAACTGGAGACGAATGTCGTAATAGTTCTTCACCAGTTGGAAAGTCCTTTCCTGGTCAAACTTGCGAGCCCGTAAGAAACGTAGGAGAAACTGGACATCGGTTTGTGGCTGCAGACCTGCGGATATATTGATAGTTTGTGTGTTACATAGTATTTATAAGGTGCTTACAAAAAAAAAAAGGAGTAAGGGAGCTTCATTTATTACATAATTTACACAATGGATAAGTGCTGCTTGGCCCATAATTTCATGTTTAATGGGGCCGCGCTAGTGCAGTCGATAGGAGACTCGCTTTCAAATCCAGCTGCGTCTTGCTGCAGCCCACGACCTGTGTTCGAAAAAGGACGGTACCCGGGGTTCACCCAGCCTTTATGAAATAGGTACCAGAGTTAACACTCTGGGGTAAATGGTAAACCTTTATCTTTATGGTTTTAAAAAAAAAAAATAGATCATTGTTTGATTTGTTCAATATCAGGTCTCTAGCCTTTCATTCCCAGGATAATACCTGGCACTCATTTTATCCAGGGTCTATCAGCTTTTAGATGCTCGGCTGATCGTTTGTAAGTACATGTTTGAATCCAGTCAGATTTTTTCCACCTTCAAATTTACTTTGCCTAAGAAAAAAAAAATTTACGGTGGTTAAAATTTTTGTTTTAACAAACACATTATAAGTTAGCATCTCCATACACACCACATCATCAAGTGCCTTGCTGTCTGACAGGAGCGATCATGCCTCTCCACAATCCGTGATCTTCAAAAACAAGTATAATTTAGCGATGGCAAAAAGCTGTCAAGAATTTTCTCGTGTTGTTATCCGTTGTCCTCCATCCCACCCCCAGATCTTTCCGGTGGTCAAAATTATTCCATTTTCCTTCTCACAACATGACCAGAGATAACTGTTATCTTTTTGATGTTTGTGATAAATTGTCTTCGAGCCCTCGCGTCTTTCAAAATATCCGGGCTACCTTTTTTTTTTTTTTTTGGTTAATCTAAAGAATTATTGAGATTCTTCTGTAAAAGCACATCTCTGAGGCTTCAAGAAATTGTTTGGCAACTTTAATAATTATCCGGGATTCACATAAATATTTTAAAAAACTGGCCCTCGGGAGCCGCGTTAGCGAAGTCAGTAGGAGGCTCGCTTTCAAATGCAGCTGCGACTCGTTGCAGCCACGGTCGGTGTTCGAAACCCAGCGGTTCGCGAGGTTCACACAGCCTTTAAAGGAAATTGGTACCAGTGTTGATACTCTGGGGTGAATAGAGGAACGTCGCTGTAGCTACAGAGTTTCATGTGGACGTAAAACAGGCGGACAGTTTCTGATCAGCTGTCCGTCCTGGTGGCAGAGAACTTTTGGTTTATAACCGTGTGCAATGACGCTGGTTCACATCTCCCGACTTTACCTTTATAAACTAGCCCTATATGGCATGCGAGAATTCTATTCCCAACCTCCAATGACATGGATTTATGGCACACAATATTCTCCATTTTATCAAGTGCAGTTTGAGCCTGTCGATTTCTGATGTTTCCCGCTTAGACAACTTCCGTTGGGTGTTATCCATGTGCTTAGAAACATGTCTTTACTTGTCCTAAAATAACCATCTTGACTTCCACTATACCTTCGGCAACACTCTAAAGACTACGAGAACTTCAGGTCAAAAGAGGTGTCGCCAAACATTAACACTATACAGGTAGCCAAAGAAGAATAGTAAACCAACACAGAACTGGTATTATCAGTCGCCACACGCTGAGGGAAATACTGAAGATGGGATGGGAGCGCTTAGGAGCATGTCCGATGTGCATCGAAGATAATCTGTCAATTAACTAACATTAACTAACTAACCTGGAACTTTCTCCAGTCGAGACCTCAAATTTTTGACTTCCAACAGACGAGTCTTTGGATTCTCATTCAATTCCTTGGTCGCCTTCTCTTGTACCTCAGGGCTCAGAGTGCTGGTATATTTATCATCTTCTTTCTTGGACGATTTGAACATGGTGCTATTTCTAATTCAGACTTCTTTGTGTGTGATATAGATTTGTGTGAATGAGCGTTGCCTAAATTATTCAAAATCTGCAGATATTGCTGAAAGACCTGTAAAAATATAACGAGATAATGGACGAATAGACACGCAGATCGACAAAATGGTATTTGATTCGCAGCCACATATTGCTCTTTCTCAAAACGGCGATTGAAACACTGATTTTGTAGCTTACAGCTCAGCTACGACAGTTTGCCTTTCGGCCTACCAAATCTTTCATTGGTGCCTTTTAAAACATGATTGCTAAGGCACAGCAGATCCGTTTTGTTGTGGGCGGGGGGGGGGGGGGGAGGCTTTAATATGGTGCCTCGTGTTCCACGGTAAAGCCACATTTTTAACCATTTTAGTTCTAGAAGCTCTTGACTGATGTTCGACAGAAGCAATAGTGAGTACAAATTTCTGTAGAAAATCTTGATATCAATCAATCAAAGCAAGATGTAGAACTAATTAGCTTCACAATAAGTCGCAATCACGAATGACAAAATAAACCTTTTTGTAGAAAACATTCATTAATATACGTCATACATGGCCAAAGATACCAGATAAAACATGCGCAAAACAACATAGTTTTTCATTAACGCCTTGCAAGATATCTCTATATTCTTAAGCATTCTCATGGGAAAAATGCTGTGTCTTGACCTACATCGTTGCATTTGTTACCGCCATCACCTCCTCAAATTTAGTCGTGGCAAAAGCATCGCTATTTTCTTTTAGTTTTCCATCAAACCAGAACTTTTAAAGCCCATAAGCTTTGTACGTGTAAACTACGGATCCGTCGGTATTGATAACTGCACCTCCTTTAGCAGAATTGTCAAAAGTCAAGGTTTGCACTTCTGCCTCCACCACCAACGGGCTTTGTTGTCTTCAATCTCTACCCAGTTTTATGCAGACTGAAAACCATGCACATCCCTCTGCTGACAGTCGTACCCTTTCCACATAAGTGTCTATGCTACCAGCTGAACAAACTTGTTGTATAATATCCTCAGCCTGACCCACCAAGGATTTTCCCATTTCTAACACGTACGCTTCTACCTGAATCTCATTGTGCAATGGGTGGTGTGTGTAGGCACATATACGCACATGCTGGGCCGAGCCCTGTTCTCCCTTTCATAGTTAGAAGATGTAAATTGTAGTGCTATCAGGGCTGTAACAATACCGCTGTCTGCTTCTTGGCGATATGAACCATGCATTAACACACTCATCGGCATTATATGAATGTTTGGGAAGTAAATCAATGGGAGGGCTGTTAGCTAATGGCAACTTCACTCGAGGTGCTGGTTAGCAACTGGGTCGAATGAGACACTTTGATGCATATAAACTTAAAATAGTTTTTTCCCGTTGTGCTGGTTATGAAACAGAGCCTTCGGGACTTCGTTGCTAGGTCAGGGTTCAGTGCTTTGTGTATTGTATACACTCAGAGCCTCGTTGTGGTCGTGGCTTGCTTTTATGATTTGGAAAAGCATGGCAGGTTGCCGTCCACAGTTGGAGAATACAGGCGTAACAAAGAGACCTGACTCAGTGTAGGAAATTTTGCCGGTGAAGTCTATAGAGGTTTCCATAGAGATAGGAGTCATGCACAACAGCACTAGACTTAGTGGATGCGTACAACATAGCACCATCTAGCCACCTGGTGCACAAACTTCTCCAACTGGAAATTTCTCTCTTCATCATCCGCTAGCTAGCCGCGGCATCTTCCTAGAGACTGGTGATACTCAGATGTGGTTGTTGGTCCTCGGAATAGATAATCATCTGTCCAGGATTAGTTAGTCTTTCCTCTTGTGTCGAGTGCGGCACATAAGGCAGAGGTCATGACTCTCCATGCACGGCGGTCCGTTGCAATCCGTTGTAGGTCTTGGATGTTTGAGTGGCCCATGAGCGAGCCTTCCCTGATGATAGTTCTACGTAGGGTTTCCCTTGGTCTTCCACGAGATCTTTTCCCCTGTGGTGTCCAAATGAGGGCTTGGTAAGGAAGTCTTGATTTATCCATTCTAAGGGCGTGGCCGACATAGTTCCAGCGGCGTTTTCGTATAAAATTAGACACATACTCTTGCCTGGATTCTTGCCTTATTTGTGTATTGGTTCGGAAATCTGTCTAGGATTTGCTTCAAGGTTTTCCGCTGTCTCCACTAATGTGTGTACGGTCCTGAAAACTGAGCAGTAGTTGCATGGGAGTGGCAGGACTTTGTCGTTTGCTAATGACACCTTGGTGTAACGACATGGAAGAGATCGTCAGGAGACAATAAATGGAGTACAAAGCGAACTGGCGTATGAAATTCAATGCATATGTCAACCCTTCAAATGCCTCAGTGAAGTGGCTCTCCTTGAATACTCATATAGTCATGGCAAACGAAGCTTTGACAAGACCAAACCCGATGACTTAGCTCGAAATGAGATTTGACTGCAGTCTGTTCTTCATGCAGTCTGCCTATGTCATAACCATAGCATACAAAGATCTGTCAGCAATGTGGGTCCTAGTCACCACTAATATTGAGCAGAGACGGCTTCCGTTTCTTTTCAAAGGAATGGTTCTTTCTCCCCTATAATATACCTTAGCCATTCTCACTGTCAGCCTCAGACTGAAAGAGACTTGCTTGAAAAAGTGCAAAACGAAGCCTTGCACATTATTCTGAGGTGCACAAGAGATACCTCGTGTGTATCAGTGAGAAGAGACTGTTTATCAAATATACCAGCTGTTTAAAACAGCTAACCATTGCTACTATGAAATATTGTTGTCATTAAAATTTTACTGATATCAAATTTTTCTACTAATTAACATTACTTCAATCACATGTTGACTTCTTGACCTTCTTGACTTTCCAATCATGAACTACAGGATCAAGATTTGGGGATTTCGCGTATACCTGAAGATAAGTTACGATCTGAAGAGCCCCTTGCACCACATGCTCTTCGAAAAATAAAATGGGCAACAAACCAAGAAGGGGCAAATCATGAGTTGAATAGGGCAGAGGATGATATCAAGCAGGTCTGCACTCTTACAGACATGCACCCTGGCGAGAAATGGATGTCTTTGTTTAAAGCCCTCAGTCGCACCTTCTCCTGTATCATCACGCTTGACAGGAGTTGTCTGGAGCAAAATCCTATTGCTGTCAATTCCGAGGCCCACACGCTTGTCAGTGACAGGTCGAAAGAGGCAGGTATGCTGATCTACACAGACGGGTCTGTTGTACGAGGACACAAGAGTGCATGGGCATTCACAGCTCGCTCAGCTGGCAGAAAAATATAAGAAGCCATGGCGCAGCAATGACGAAGGAGGTTGCGGCAGTAACACAAGCTTTCTTGTGGCTGGAGTCACATGACCCATTACGAACTTCCCCCACCCCCTTTTTTTTTTAATCGGAAAGATTATCATCGCCATCATCATCACCATTTCTACCATCACCATTATCACTTTCCTAATAAAAAAGGAACTAACAAGTGATTGCAATTGTTTTGTCCCTACCTAGTTTGTGTATCTCGTCAGGTGCATAACAGAGTAACGGTTAAATTGAATGAAGCAAACAACTCAATCATGTCAATCGTAATAATGAATCAACGACACTCTAAATTTACGTTTGAGAGCGTTATATCTAAAATAGAGATTAAAAGGTCAGCGTATTTTCTTGTGGGGTAGAACACTTCTTCTTCTTACAGTTCATGCCGTGTGGGGGTGGTGTTCAAGTTTATCCACAACCATTCTGTCTAGTGTGCTTAACATCAACTCTGACACAGATTATCCTCCATGCCGTGTGGTCGTGATCTTTAAGTTTAACCACAACCATTCTGTCTAGTGTGCTTAACATCAACTCTGACACAGATTATCCTTCATGCCATGTGGTCGTGGTGTTCAAGTTTATCCACAACCATTCTGTCTAGTGTGCTTAACATCAACTCTGATACAGATTATCCTCCATGCCGTGTGGTCGTGGTGTTCAAGTTTAACCACAACCATTCTGTCTAGTGTGCTTAACATCAACTCTGACACAGATTATCCTTCATGCCATGTGGTCGTGGTGTTCAAGTTTATCCACAACCATTCTGTCTAGTGTGCTTAACATCAACTCTGATACAGATTATCCTCCATGCCGTGTGGTCGTGGTGTTCAAGTTTAACCACAACCATTCTGTCTAGTGTGCTTAACATCAACTCTGACACAGATTATCCTTCATGCCGTGTGGGGTGGTGTTCAAGTTTATCCACAACCATTCTGTCTAGTGTGCTTAACATCAACTCTGACACAGATTATCCTCCATGCCGTGTGGGGGTGGTGTTCAAGTTTATCCACAACCATTCTGTCTAGTGTGCTTAACATCAACTCTGACACAGATTATCCTCCATGCCGTGTGGGGGTGGTGTTCAAGTTTATCCACAACCATTCTGTCTAGTGTGCTTAACATCAACTCTGACACAGATTATCCTCCATGTCATGATGTATCTGTCCACAATCATTTCTCTCCTTCTCCCTCTGACTCCCCCCCCCTCCAACTTTCCCACTGTCATGGTGTACTCCAGCCTTCTTGTGTTTTTTCAATGACATGACCAAAGAATGAAGGTTGTCTCCTACTGGTCTGTGGGCAAACAGTTCTCTTTGTGAGTCAGTTTTAAAAAAAAAAGAAATCTTTATTACTCATTTTGTTTGACACATCAATCGTCTATAAAATCTTATCTCTGCAGCTTCTAAATAATTGTTCAATATAATTGTTCAATATAATTGTTCAATATAATTGTTCAATATAATTGTTTAATATAATTGTTCAATATCGACCAGCTCGACCGGCGTGATGCTGACCACATCACCTATCTTGTGCCGATTGGTCTATAAAAATATAGGTCTAGCCCTATATGCCCTATACGCCCAAAGGCGTGGAAAAGGGTCCTTTACTTTACCTTTTTTTATCGACCAGCTGTCCATGATTCACTTCCACATATTTGGATAGGATTTGTGTAGCTTTTAAAGA